GCATCACTCCGCTTCAGCAAACACAATTGTCCTTGCTGTAGAACTGCTACCCTTTCATAGAATTGTAGTGTTGAGAGGGAACCCAATGATCCAGCCCCCTGCAATGCAGGAATCTCAGGTAAAGCATCCATGGCAGATGGCTATCCAACCTCTGCTTCAAAACCTCCAAGGAAGGAGAGTACACCACCTTACATGGGAGTCCGTTCCACTGGTGAACAGCTCCTACTGTCAGAAAGTTCTTCCTGACATTTATTCAGAATCTCCTTTCTTGTAACTTGAAGCCATTGGTTCGAGTCCTACCCTCCGGAGCAGGAGAAAACAAGCTTGTCCCCTCTTCCATGTGACAGCCCTTGAGATATTTGAAGTCCGTATAGTTAAAGCTATGGTTTTCCCAGTAGTGATGTATGGAAGTGAGAGCTGGACCATAAAGAAGGCTGATCGCCGAAGAATTGATGCTTTTGAATTCTGGTGCTGGAGGAGACTCGTGAGAGTCCCATGGACTGCAAGAAGATCAAGCCTCTCTAGTCTGAAGGAAATCAGCCCTGAGTGCTCACTGGAAGGACAGATCCTGAAGCTGAGGCTCCAATACTTTGGCCACCTCATGAGAAGAGAAGACTCCCTGGAAAAGACCCTGATGTTGGGAAAGATGGAGGGCACAAGGAGAAGGGGACGACAGAGGACGAGATGGTTGGACAGTGTTCTCGAAGCTACCAGCATGAGTTTGACCAAACTGCGGGAGGCAGTGTAAGACAGGAGTGCCTGGCGTGCTTTGGTCTATGGGGTCACAAAGAGTCGGACACGACTAAAAGACTAAACAACAACAACCATATCTCCTCTTTTCCAGGCTAAACATACGCAGCTCCTTCAACCGTTCCTCAAAAGGCTTGGTTTCCAGACTGTTGATAATCTTGATCCTTCTCATCCACCCACATTTCCTGAGGTCCCTTTAGTGCAGTTGCCCTCGCAAAGTGGTTTCCATAAGATATTAAGATTATAAATCAAATAGTAAACAAACACAGGTCACTGCATGCTTGTGTCTTTGCACGATTGCAATCAGAAATCTCAGCACCTTACACTGGGGCTGGGCTTCATGAATGAAGCTTTTGCTGCAGTTTAAAACACCCTGCATCAGCGACAAGGTAACTTGATAGGGGAGAGGCAGCCGGCATTAAATATAGCACCCAGCTGCCTCGAGTTTTCCTGGCTGTCCCTTGCACATCAGGGTTTATTTTTAAATCCCTGACTCCAGTTTGAGGGCATCAGCAAAGCACAGAGATTTCAGCCACTCCAAATATTCCAGAATTCCCCTCTCTTCTTCCCCTCCCATAGCACTTGTGGACAATGAACTCCACCCCTAGATTTCTGGAGTCCAATGTGCCATTTGAGCTGTACCTGCAAATAAGCTGCACCTTTAAAATTCAAGGGGGGGAAAAATACCTGAATATAAGCCGCTCCCTTAAAATTGGGTTACAGGCTGAAAATCGCTATGGTTGGTAGAATTGTAACTCCGAGCCAATCTAAGTCTTTGATCTTGCAAGCCCGCAAAACTTGCTATACAATTGCTAAAATCGCAAATCGCTCTTCAGTTGCTACCATTCCGCAGGCACACAAGCTCGCAAATGGCAAATGAACAGTCCTAAGCTGGCAAATCGGCAACAAAACTTTTTTTGTGCATTCCGTTTTACTGCATGTCTGTTTCAGCAGCGGTATTGTCAAAGCTCGTTTTTGTAATTTTTTGCGAATTTAAGCCGCACTTTAACTTTTGACGGTCGGAATTTGGGGGGGGGGGAGTGAGGCTTATATTCAAGCCAATATGGTAGAAACGAGCCCACGTAATCTTCACGTATACCCTTCAGGAACTCCTGGAATTGCTCAGTCACTGCCCTCTTCGCCACCTTACCCAATAAAGGGAAATTTGCGACCAGGTGGTAATTGTTATAAACCAGAGGATCTGAGGTGGCTCTCTTCGGGAGTGAGCACACTACTGCCTGTTTAAGGGCAGCCAGCACAGGAATCGTAGAATTGTAGAGTTGGGACCCCAAGGGTCATCAAGTCCAACCCCCCCACCCACAGGAAGATGCGTTCATCATGCCCTGGACCATGGGTAGGCAAACTAAGGCCCGGGGGCCAGATCTGGCCCAATCACCTTCTAAATCTGGCCTATGGACGGTCCGGGAATCAGTGTGTTTTTACATGAGTAGAATGTGTCTGAAATATACTCGGAGTCGAGAGTGGATTTCATGCTCTTTATTCAGCTCATAGTGGTGAGGAGGAATGGAAGTTCCCCCAGAATGTCTGCTTTATATACGTACATTATTTACACAATGGGCCCCACATGATTGGCTAATTCGGGGATTCTCCTGTAGGCCAATCAGGTTGCAGATTCACTTCCACCTGGAGCTGGATTGGGTGGCTCCTGCGGACCAATCAGACTGCTGCATTTGGATCCTATTCAACTCAGTACATAACAGTGTCCTTTACACTCATACCTCATGTTACATCCACTTCATGTTACGTTCTTTCAGGTTACGACCCGGAAGTACCGGAAAGGGTTACTTCTGGGTTTCGCTGCTTGCGCATGCGCAGACACGCACAATGACACCACGCGCATGTGCAGAAGCGGCTAATCACAACTTGTGTGTGTGCAGACGCACCGCTGCGGGTTGCATTCTTTTCATGTTGCGAATGGGCTTCCGGAACGGATCCTGTTTGCAACCAGAGGTACCACTATATTTAAACTGTATCTCTGGGTTATTTGTGGGGCAAAGGAATTCGTTCATTCCCTCCCCTCCAAAAGAATATAGTCTGGCCCCCCACAAGCTCTAAGGGACAGTGGACCGGCCCCCTGCTGAAAAGGTTTGCTGACCCCTACGGCCTGGACCCATCTGAGCAACCCCTCCTGGCTGGCTTTCACCAGTCAGGATGGGCAGGGATGAAGAGAATAAGAAGTCGGTCCTTTCCTTCTCTCTGGCAATCTCACACTGTGTATTTCTGTAGCAACATAAAAAACGACAAGACTCCAGTGCTCTCTGCAGCAGCTGCCCCGTGGAACTGCCCAGCACCAGACAGAGAAGGGCAGAGATGAGGGTATGCTAAAAATAACATTCAAGACTGTCTCGACACGGGGTTGGGGTGGCCAGCACTTGCATGAATGATCCAGAAACATTTGATTAAAAAGGAAAGAATATCACACAGCTCCAACCGGTCCAGATTAATCTGGTCTGAGGGTTGCATTTTAACTGTGTTCTCTGCTATTTATAGCACTGTCAAAGCTGTCAGGCAGTGTTTCATTGTTAAAACAAGAGGAGCGGCCGTGTGGGTCTGATTCAATCCTGCTAGCGATCTTGGACAACGCACGTGTTTAAACTTCTTCTTGGCAGTGCAATGTTTTCCCTTGGGCTCTTTTGTACATACATTTAACAGGTGCGTTTGCATATATATCCAGAGGCAGAGAGCAACAATACTCACTAAGATGTGGGGGTTTTTTTTATGTTCTCCAAATCTGAATGAAAATGTCAACATTCCTGGTTATAGATAATACTGGATTTTTGGAGGTGTTGTTGTACTCAGAGTAGACCCACTGAAAATAGTGCACCTAGGTTAGTCATGTCCACTAACTTCAGTGAGTTTGGTCTGAGTACAACTAGCTCATTTAAAAAAAATATGTGCAAGAGTTCTGTAAGTTCTGTATGATTCAACACTGAAGATATTAAATGTTTTCAAAAAGTGTATCACTCAAAGGTGGCATTCAAAAACACAATCCCAAAAACATGGTCTTTGGCTTTAAGGCCAAATTAGGAAATGTTGGATTTTCAATTTGAGAAACATTTTTGTTCCAGTTCTATTTAAATTGTGAGCTCAAAGAGGGTGAACCCCAGTCCAGCTCCCTTTCTTTCTTTCTTTCTTTCTTTCTTTCTTTCTTTCTTCATCTTTTTTATTTATGCTGTTCTTTAAAGCACCGGCTACAATGATGGCACTATGTAAATGATTGAATGTGCTGAATCTAGACATAAATCAATGTCATATGACTTTAAGCAGGCATGGCTCTCCCCAAAGCATTCTGGGAAGTGTAGTTTCTTCAGGGTGCTGAAAGCTCTTAGGAGGCGCCCTATTCCCTTCACAGAGTACAATTCCCGGAGTTCCCTGGGAAGAGGGGTCGATTGCTAAACCACTTTGGAAACTGTGGTCAGTAAACATGCTTTGCTCTCTCTCTCTCTCTCTCTCTCTCTGTGTGTGTTTAATTTTAAATTCATTATTCCCTCACCCTTTTTTGTGCCTCTGCAGACTTTGAGATCCCCCGCATAGCCTGCTGCTGCTGCTGCTGTTGTTGTTGTTTAGTCGTTTAGTCGTGTCCGACTCTTCGTGACCCCATGGACCAAAGCACGCCAGGCACCTCTGTCCTCCACTGCCTCCCGCAGTTTGGTCAAACTCATGCTGGTAACCTCAAAAACACTATCCAACCATCTCGTCCTCTGTCACCCCCTTCTCCTTGTGCCCTCCATCTTTCCCAACATCAGGGTCTTCTCCAGGGAGTCTTCTCTTCTCATGAGGTGGCCAAAGTACTGGAGCCTCAGCTTCACGATCTGTCCTTCCAGTGAGCACTCAGGGCTCATTTCCTTAAGAATGGATAGGTTTGATCTTCTTGCAGTCCATGGGACTCTCAAGAGTCTCCTCCAGCACCATAATTCAAAAGCATCAATTCTTCGGCGATCAGCCTTCTTGATGGTCCAGCTCTCACTTCCATACATCACTACTGGGAAAACCATGGCTTTAACTATATGAACCTTTGTTGGCAAGGTGATGTCTCTACTTCTCAAGATGCTGTCTAGGCCTGTCATTGCCCTTCTCCCAGGAAGCAGGCGTCTTTTAATTTCGTGGCTGCTGTCACCATCTGCAGTGATCTGAGCCTGCTGTTAGCTCACCACAATCGCATAGAATCCTTGAATTGTAGAGTTGGAAGGGACCTCAGGGGTCATCTAGTCCAACCCCCCGCAGGAATCTCTTGCCCAACCTGGGACTCAAACCCATAACCCTGAGATTAAGAGTCTCACGCTCTACTTACTGAGCTGTTGCTGTTTGATGAGTTCACTGTTAGTGCATATAAGATGGACATATAATATGATATGGCCAAGCAATTCAGTGAAACCCAGATTTTTGGGGGGAGGATAAATGTTATGTATGACCGTAATTACAAACCAAAACATTGTAAAAATGAATTCCACATGCCATTAAATTTATCTGAGTCAGGGATAGGTCTTATGGAGTCCTTCAGACATTGCTGGGCGGAAACTCTCGTCGGACCAAGCCAGTATGGCAAATGGTTCAGGATTACGGGAGCTGTGATCTATTTTGACTGTGCCATGTTGACCACACCGATTTAAATTCTTCATATGTGCATGTCACCTGTTCCTTATGTGAAAAATAATCTGGAAAGATCTCTATCCTTAGTCTTCCATATGTGGTTCTGCTGATTAGCAGCGGAACGTGAGTCATCGGCTTGATGCAACTGCAAAAAATAAAAATAAAAGGTTAATGCAATTTTAGGCTGAATGAATAGAACCAAAGTTTACGGTCAGATTAGTCCAACCTAATCAAGTCCTGCTGTCCAAGAAGACTATAGAAAAGTTGGAATGAGTTCAGGGGAGGGCAATGAAGGCGGTCAGGTTCTGTGGGGAACTAGCCCTATAAGGAAAGGTTGTAGAAACTGAATATGTTGGGAGAGGGCCATAGCTCAGTCGAGGTACATCTGTCCTGCATGCAGAAGGAATGCCCTGGGTTCAAAGCAACCGCTGTTCAGAGGCATACCAGGCCTGCAGCAGTGAAGGAAGAACACGCAGCCATTGTGGTTCGTAGCTTCCTCCTCTGCGGATTTATCTCATCCTTTCTTTAAAAGCCATCCGAGTTGAATTACAGAATTGTCAAGATGGAAGGGTTCCCCAGGGTCATCTAGTCCAACCCCCTGCAGTACAGGAATATTTTTGCCCAACGTGGGGCTTGAAATCACTGCCCTGAGATTACAGGCCTCCTGCTCTATGGACTGAGCTGTTCACTTTTTGCTCTTTATTTTGTCTGTCCTGAACCATTCAACATTCAGCTTTGTGGGATGGTACCACTATAACCTCTGTTCCAGTCTGTATTTCTTTTGAACATGTTTTTACACATGAAATGGTTTTGAATTGTTTGTATGAATGGCATTGATTCTCATTGTTTGTGTCAATGTATGTTTGTGTTTTGCATTGTTTTCCTACATGAAATCATTTTCAGTTCTTCCCAGACATGGAACTGTGCTTGTTTTCAGTTTTTGTGTACGAAATCGTTTTAAACTCTCGCTACATATATACTTGGGACGCGGGTGGCGCTGTGGTCTAAACCACAGAGCCTAGGACTTGCTGATCAGAAGGTTGGCAGTTCAAATCCCTGCAATGGGGTGTGCTCCTGTTGCTCATTCCCAGCTCCTGCCAGCCTAGCAGTTCGAAAGCACGTCAAAGTGCAAGTAGATGAATAGGTACCGCTCTGGCGGGAAGGTAAACGGCGTTTCCGTGCGCTGCTCTGGTTCACCAGAAGCGGCTTAGTCATGCTGGCCACATGACCCAGAAGCTGTACACTGCCTCCCTCGGCCAGTAAAGTGAGATAAGCGCCGCAACCCCCGAGTTGTCCACAACTGGACCTAATGGTCAAGGGTCCCTTTACCTTTACATATATACTTGCGTGTGCTTTTAGCTTTTCCTATCATTTTGAATTCTTGCCACGCGTGGAATTGTGTTTGTTTTCATAGCTTTCCCTGTATGAAATCATTCTGAATTGTTGCTGCGTGTGGGATTGTGCTTATTTTCATATATGTTATATGGAATGGCTTTGTCACCGTGAAATCGCTTTGAGAGATTTCCTGGGGGGGCGATTCCTAAGCGGAAGATGAGGAAACAAACGTCACCAGATCAGAAGAAGCAATGGTAACGGGGATGAATCATAACAAACTGGCGGCGCGTCCTAACGCTGCTCCATATCACGCCCTGTTCCCGCATTTATTCCTCTCCATCCCTCCCTCTTTCTCCTCCTCCCTCCACCTTTTCCTTTCTCTCTTTCTCCATCCATCCATCCATCCATCCATCCTTCCACCTGCTGCATCCCCTCCTCCCTCCCCCGCAGCCTCTTCCCTCTCGTCCCTCCTCCTCCTTTTTCCTCCATCCATCACCCTCCGCCCTCTCCCTTCTCCGGCTCTCTGTACCGCAATGCTGTAGTGCGGAGGGGAGGGGGGAAGAGCAGCAGCAGCCGCCGGAGGAGGAGGAGGGGGGTGACTGCATTGCGCCGTCGCCGTCAATAGGTGGACCCCCTCCCGGGGAAATAAAGCCGCCCGAGCCGAAGCTGGCAGCCTCTGCTGTCTGAGACCACAGCTGCCGGTAAGAGCGTCTTGAAAGCTTGCTTTGCTGCCGAAGGACAACGCACCATTATTTCCAAACCCCCCTCCTTCCATTTTTATTTATTTCTTTTTTGGGGGGGGGGATACCTTTGCAAAAATGGGGAGGGGACTGGAACAGGTGCAGCGAGGAAAGTGTGGGCTGCAGCCTTTAAAAATAATAATACTGAAGCTGGGGGGGGGATGTTGGTGCTTTAAACGTTTTGCAAAAAAAAAGGGGGGGGGAAGGCTGGGCTTTTTAATTTTTTTGCAAAGGAGGAGCAATAATAACGGGCGTTTTATTTGTTTGGCGAGGCGGCGATGGCTTTTTGCAAAATTGCGCTTTCCCACCCAACCCTTCCCCGTTGCAATCTCCCGTCTGGAATCGTCTCTTGTCTCTTTTCTGTAATCCCCCCCCCGCCCGAAAAAACCCCGAAACCATTTCCACCCCTTCAAGTTGCGCAGGTGATATTGTGGAAGCGGGTCCGGGAGAGCAAGCGCGCGTGCGGGTTCCAGGGCGCGCGACCCCTAAGGCAGTTAAGCCGGCCAGGAGCATCCGCGACCCAAACGGGCGTTCCGGCAGAACCGGCCTGTGGATCGGACTCCTGGGCGGGGGCGGGGGGGAATCGCTTTGCTGGGGTCCGGATCCTGTTTTCTGTCTTGCTTCCAAGCAGCTCTCTTAACTTGCACAGTCATTCCAACCCGCGCGCGCCCCCCTCCCGGCTTTATTGTCTTGTCTCGACACCCCCCCTCCCTCCTACACATTTAAGGCCTTCTTCGCATTTAGAAATTGAACCCCCCCTTTTTTTAGAGGTGGGGGAACAGGTGGGGGCTTGGAGAGAGCTTAGCAAAAACCCTCCCTGCGTCGCACCGGTTGACCTTGCCACCATATCCCTGGCCAGATTATACGATCTGCAAATAATCATGATAATAATAACCCAATTGTTTTTTGAAAATTAGGTGGGGTTTTTTTGTTGGGGGAGGAGGAGGTGTGTGTTGGGGGGGGGGGGTCAGCGAAAGGAAAAAGAGAGGGGGAGGGGGTTGCAGCAGGTTTGCATTGCTTTTCCCCAGAATTTATTTCGTTTCAGCTCTGCAGGGATTTGCGCGGCGTTTTTAGCTCCGCAGGGGATCTGAGATAGGTTGGGTCATTCGGTTTTAAAAATAACCCCTTGCAAAAGGCGGGTGGGGGGGATGATGTGGCTGAGAGCTGCATGCCTTCCTAGCTGATCCAATCCCTCATGTGGGTGGCGTGTGACAAAAGAGTGGCAGGGACAACCTTCAGATACACCCCCTTTTCCCCCCACCCCACCCCATCACACCACAACCCCAAAGCGGGAGATATATAGAATTAGCCGTGCTCAGCTTGACAGAAATGAGCAGCAGAAAATGGCTGGGGTTTTATGTTGCATGAACATAGAGGCTTCTAGAACCAGATATGGTGGTTTATGCACTGAGATACATTTTGCAACTTGGGCGAGCCGAGGCTGTGCGATTTGCAGAGCCTGCTTGCAAAAAGAGTCCATATTCCCAAATTATAGCCCCTCCTCCTCCCTGTGCATTTGGGGTACGTTTTGATACGGCGAGAGAGGCAGGTGGATTTCAACCCCCCCAGCACAGGAGCAAGAGTGTCTGAAAATCAGGCTTTTATTTTCTTTTATTTTGGAATGATGGAGCGCAGCTTTGTGTAAAGGTTTCGAAAGCTGAAAACGTAGGCTTCTTGGCTTCTATCGACCTAAGATTTCCAGATCTGCCTCTGCTACATCTTGGTGTTATGGGGGAAAGCTGAGCTCTCCCTCCCCCCTTACCGCCCCCCCCCTTACCGCTTGATCCTTCCACGCACAGCCAGATTCCAGTTTAGCCGCTCTAGGGAAGCACACCAAACAGCTATTTCTGGCTCTTTCCATTTGTGGGCACCATATTGTCCTTTCCGAAGATGAGCTTACTGGGAAATTTCCTGAGGTGGATCTGAACGCCCGTGCAGAGGAAAACCTCTCTGCTTTCGATACGATATCTTCATTGTCATTGACCCAACAGAACAATGAAATTGAAAAATCTACATAAGACATTCAAAAACCGCTAAAAATTCCGAAACCCCATTTTAAAATACAATATATTATAGAGACTCCTTATACTGCGTTTAAAATTGCATTTGGGTAGAAGCTGTTTCTCAGGCGGCTAGTCCTGGTCTTTATAACCCTATACCTTCTTCCAGAAGGCAGAAGTTGAAAGAGATAATTTATGTCGCTTAGGAAAGCGTAGTCCACGGGATTAGGTGCAATGAAGGAGTTCTTGCAATTATTATATACCTGGGGTGCGTGGGAATGAAATCACACTTTGTGCACAAGAGTGGCGGAACCAAACATCACTTATTTGGGAAAGGGGTTTTTAGGAGAGGCTACCAGTTCTAAAAAAAGGCAATTTTGGGGCGAGAAGGAGATTGCGCAGGCATCTCTGGCTTGCAGCGCAACGGGGTTGCCGTTGGTGTCAGTGGGGTGGACCCAGAAGGAAAAACACAAACAAAACAAAAAACGGGTTCCTTTTCCCAGCTAGAGTCGGGGTGGATTTCTCCCATGGCAGACAGAAAATCCTCCTTCTGTCTGGCCTACATTCTGCCTGCTGTTTATCCAGCGAAAGATCTGATGGGTTAAAGCACAGGCTTAACTTTGCGACAGGAAACCCCAGACAAAGACGCAAACACACACACACACACCCCGGGGCTGGAAAAGGCTCTGTGGCAGTTGCGTGTCTGGCTGTTGTGTTGTGCTCCTGTTGCTCCTGGCGACACTCCTGATCTCCTCCTCTCTCGCACTGCTCTTTGCAGCAGCCGCCTCGCCCGGTCACAGCCGCTGCTGAGCTCTCCATCCCTCCGCAAGCGCCGGCCTGCCGATCACAGATCCCGAGGAGAGGAAAGATGGGGAAGGAGAAGACCCATATCAACATTGTTGTCATAGGACACGTGGACTCCGGGAAATCCACCACCACCGGCCACCTCATCTACAAATGTGGGGGCATCGACAAAAGGACCATTGAGAAATTTGAGAAGGAAGCCGCGGAGGTAAGGCTCAAAAGGCACACATGTGTACAGTTTGACCTTCAAGTTTGCCCTTCCTTTTTCTCTTCTCTGGAACTAGAGTACGAGATGGAATAGGAGCAGTTGTTGCCTGCCGCTTCCCACATCTAGAAGAATATTTGCTATGCATTGTGTCTCCTGTGCTTTTTCATAGGTTCCTTTTCTAACTTCCACCACGATGCCACAATATATTTCCCTGGCCTGCCTCCCCTCGCAACTTCCAATTCGTTACCCGAACAAGATAGGCCCAAACAGGGAAGGGGGTGACAATGGAAAGCCCCCGCAACAGTAAACTGCCCCACCCCCCCATCTTCCTTTGGCATTGCTACCCGGCCACACCAGCATTTGTGCTGGTGGCATTTCAGTTTGTGGTCCCAAGTTCCCTTTTCTCTGCGTGAGCAATGTTGGTTGGAAACCATGTTTGTTTTCTTCTGAGGCTAATGCTTGTGATAATGTGCTCTTTTGGCAAAATCGCCACCCCTGAATATATAATAATAATAATGATAATAAACCTCAACTCTTAAATAATAATAATAATAATGAAAGGGAAAACGTTGCCTAGGAAACCTCAACTTTGCACCAAAAGCAGCAAAATTGTGAATTGTGCCAAATTGCATAATTATTTTGCATAGTTTAATGTACATTTCTTTACTTTTTTATTATTCATTCTGTTTGAGGGAGGGGTATCAGGAAAAGAGCTGCGTAGGACTCTAAAGATCAGTTTCAAATCAGGTCCCCGCCCCAACTTTCAAACTTATTTTTTGCACCTATACAGACTATGGGCTTTTTTTTTTTTTTGCAAATGAAGCCATGAGATTCTGCACCCAGTGTCAGCCCAATCAAATGCCAGAAGGTTTAAGTTTAGGTCTTTGCTGAAATGCAGAATCTTCCAATCACTGCTCTCCACCTACGCCCTGGTTAACTTGCCCAATAACGCAGCACAGTGCGTCAGCTCAGTAGTATAGACCGTGTGCTTTGGGTTCAGAACCCCCTAATTTCAATCTCCGGTATCACCAGTTAAAAGGATGAAATAGCAGTGATGCAGGCGGCCTCCCTCTGCTGAGAAGCCTGCGAGATTGCTTTCCAATATAATTCCCCCCTTTCCTTTAGGTGACCAGTCAGACCCTGATCTTGAACAAAATGCTCATCTGTGGACAGCTCCCTCGACAAGAATCCTGGGAACTGTAGCTTACCCATACAGAACTACAATTCCTAGCACCCTTAACAATCAACAGATCTCCAACTCAGTTCTGGGGCAGTGACCTGTGTCTGCTGCCGCTCTCCCTGACCTGGAAATTCTGGCTGCTGTTACTTTAGAGAGAGTGGACTGTAGTTGCTCATTGGAGAGGGGAATGCATTCTGCACATGCCCAGAGTTGCTGTTTTGCACGTTTCTGGTGTTGCCTGTTACGGTTGCTGAGGGTGGTTAGGAGATCCTCCACAGAGCTATAGTTCCCAGCGCCGTGTGCAGCCTACATTTCCCAGGATTCCTTGAGGGAAGCCATGGCTGTTAAAGGATGTTGTGGATGTGGTCAAGCAACTTAGGGACAAATCGTGCCGAATAAATACCTTGTCTGTTTAGATCAGTATTATCTAGGGCTTGAGGCAGGGGTCTTTCCCAGTTCTGCCAGGATTTGAACCAAGGACCTTCTGCGGGAGAAGCCAGTACTGTTCAACCGAGCTGAAGCAATTCCCGGAAATATCTGGTCCCCATCTTTGTCTTAGGCTCAGCTGTTCTTTGAGGGCAAGAGGCTCAGGAGACAGAGCCCGTTACAGTCTTTGGTAGCTGCGCCAAATAAATATGGACCTGTATAGTCTGAATTAGGGCATAGCTACACTTCAGACTTAAGCCAGAAGAGCCTAGAGGACACCAGCTGTGCTGAAAATTCTGTAGCAGACCCTCAAAAAGTGGGGCAGATGTTACTTTGCCTAAGTCCTGCAAGACAACTGGTCACTCCAGAGGGCTATCTTAACTTAAGTGAGCAGATGTGTTTTCTTCCTAAACTCATTTTCTAATGGTCCCCACTTGAGATTCTTCCGGGGGGTGGGGGTGGGAGGCGCAGAATGGTGGGGAACCTTTCACAACATATTGTCAGAACCAGCTCTAGTTCTTGTTGTTGACTGAATCTGTAGTTTGTTATTAGTTATTACCTTAATATCCGTCTTCCTGCCCCCAAGTTGCTCAACGCAGCTTATGTGATCGTCCCTCAATCCACCTTTGTCTTCATAACACCCCTTTGAGGTAGGCTAGGCTGTCTCGAGATCACCCAGTGAAGTTTATGACGTGAGAGCAGAGTCGACCCCTGGTCTCCCAGGGTGCAACACTCTGAACCACTTCACAACACTGGCTGTTTTCTGATGCCCAAGAATTGAGGGTCTTAGCTGTCTAGTTACTTGACCAGACTGGTATCCGCTGCACTCTTTTCCCTGCTTTCATAAAAAGCATACCTTGGACCCCGGACAATGAGTCTAGGCCACCAGAAACCTCTCTTGCACAACCCTCAGATGGAGAGATGGCCGCTTCTTAGAAACAAAGCATCCTCCTTGACTTGTTCCATTGCACCCACCTTTCTATCTCCCCTGACTCTCTTTATATTGCTTCGCTTAACATCCAGTCTTAAAAAAACAGCTCCGGAAAAAAAGCTTGTCTAGAACATTGGGACTTCCAACTTGGTCTTCATAAAGGAATCACAAATTGCTCTCTCCCAAGTTTTGAGTTCCCTTCCCAATGGACCAACATGGTTGCTTGATAATTCTCTAGTAGATGGTATGTTTCGGGTGCTTTTTGCTGAGTCAGCCCATTGGTCTCCCTAGATCAGGATTGTCTACACACTGACTGACAGCAGCTCTCCAGGTTTTGAGTCAGAAGTCTGTTTTCGCAGCCCCACCTGAAGAGGCTGGGAATTGAGCTTCAATTCAGAATGAATACTCAGTAAACAGCCTTCTGACTTAGTGCACACCGTTGAGGACCGATGCTCAAGAAACAGGTTATGTGGATATGTTCGAGTTTCGCTGATTCCTATATCACAGAACTCCTTTCGTTTTCTGCTGCCAAAAGTAGTATCCTTTATCCATTGGCGATGTTCTGTAGTGGGAAGGAAGGGAGTCAGCATTTGATCTGAGCCCACGGATAAATTGTGACGCCCGGAGCGTGTCATTTTAGCCCCAGTGATGCATCTTTAAAATGGGAGCAGCAGGTGAGGGATTATAGGGGAGGGGAGATGAAATGAAATGAGGGAAGAAGGAAATCCCCTTCTGAACCTTCTCCACTTCTCTGCCTACAGTCTCCCCCTCCCTTCTCCAGGAGGAGGGGGTCAGTGAGAGGGAACCCCCCTCTGCCCTGCCATTCCCTATCCCTATAGTAAGACAGACCACCCAAAAGTGGTTGTTAACTGAGCATCCTCAGCTTGTATGTCCTATTTCTGGGCTTAAACCAGGAAAGATGGATGCCTGCTTCTCTTAATTCTCCCCACCCTCTGCCGGCTCATGCAACTGGAATAAATGCATATTCTTACTCTGTTTACCCGTTCCTCCGTCTCTTTCACCACTCTTCTGTTGCCTTTCCCAGTGTCAAGTTGAAATTGGAGCTGCTGCCAGCCTGTGTAGACAATATTGAGTCAGGTGGGTCTTTGGTTTGAGTCAATATAAGGCAGCTTCTTAGGAAGGGGGCTAGCTCAGCGGTAGAGCGTCTGCTCGGCATGCAGAAGGAACAGAGGTTCAATCCTCGGCATCTCCAGATAAATGCTGGAAAAGGCTCCCGATCTGAAACTCTGGAGAGATGCTGCCTGCCAGGGTAGACAGTACTGAGGTAGATGGACCAGTGGTCTGACTCTGACTCAACATCAGGAAGAACTTTCTGGCAGTAGGAGCTGTTTGACAGTAGAACAGTCTCCCTTGGGAGGCTGTGGACTCTCCTTCCTTGGATCTGTCCTGAATGCTTTAGCTGAGTTTCCTGCATTGCTGGGGGTTGGACTAGATGCCCCTTGGGTTCCCTTCCAACTCTACATTTCTGTTATTCTGTGACTCAGGATAATGTAGCTTCGTGCGCTGCTAATACCTCTGTCTTCATACTTGGTAGAATGCTATGCCTGTTCATAAAGGTAAAGGGACCCCTGACCATTAGGTCCAGTCGCGGACGACTCTGGGGTTGTGGCGCTCATCTGGCTTTATTGGCCGAGGGAGCCGGCGTACAGCTTCCGGGTCATGTGGCCAGCATGACTAAGCTGCTTCTGGCGAACCAGAGCAGTGCATGGAAACACTGTTTACCTTCCCGCTGGAGCGGTACCTATTTATCTACTTGCACTTTGAGTGCTTTTGAACTGCTAGGTTGGCAGGAGCAGGGACCGAGCAACGGGAGCTCACCCCGTCGCGGGGATTCGAACCGCCAACCTTCTGATTGGCAAGTCCTAGGCTCTGTGGTTTAACCCACAGCGCCACCCGCGTCCCTTATGCCTGTTCATAGTGCTATATAAATAATCATAATAAATAACTCAGGTGAATCTCAGGTTTGGGCAGGGGGACCAAATTCCTATTGCTTGCTGGTTGCCAAAGTTCTTGCAAAAAAATAGATACAGTGGTACCTCGGGTTAAGTACTTAATTCGTTCCGGAGGTCCGTACTTAACCTGAAACTGTTCTTAACCTGAAGCACCACTTTAGCTAATGGGGCCTCCCACTGCCGCTGCGCCGCCGGGGCACGATTTCTGTTCTCATCCTGAACCAAAGTTCTTAACCTGAAGCACTATTTCTGGGTTAGCAGAGGCTGTAACCTGAAGCATATGTAACCCGAGGTACCACTGTAAACGTTTCCCTCAGTAGACCATCTTGCAAGGCCCCCTCCTTGAGTTCTTAGAAGCACAAGGATGCAGTGAAAATCGCAATGCCTGGTTGGGGGACTTGGAACCCTTTAGATCAGTGATGGCCAAACTTGGCCCTCCAGCTGTTTTGGGACTACAATTCCCATCATCCCTGACTACTGGTCCTGTTAACTAGGGATGATGGGAGTTGTAGTCCCAAAACAGCTGGAGGGCCAAGTTTGGCCATCACCGCTTTAGATGTTGTTGGGACTACAACTCCCAGAAGCCCCAGGCAGCAAGGTGTGATGGGAGTTGTGGTCCCAACGATATCCGCATGGCTGCCTCATGAGTTCCTGACTATGCGCTCCTGTGCTATAAATTTACAGTTCTTTGGTAGATCGTGGGGGCTTCTAGCAAAAAATGTAAACCGTGTGAGGCTCAGTTGGCCTACCTTGCAAGGTTATTGTAAGGCCAGTCAGAGTTAGAACTATAAATTGCCTGCTGGGTTACCTGAGCTGTATGGGCAAGAGATTGGGATCCCCAAAGGGATTTGCAAGGTGTTTGTCTGTGGGGCAGGGACTGGTGGAAAAGAGGGCACTTTTTGCCCTGATTCTCACCTGGGTGGTGAGGGTACTGCAGGAAGCTCATTCCCTGTTCCTCCCAGACACCCCCTTCCCATCTATTTCCTACCTTTGCAGGTAACAAATAGGGAGGCGACCATCAAAACAAAGCAGATCATTAATCTCTGATTGCACCGTGCGAGAACGGAGCTTGATAGTGGGCTGTAAATTCAACAAAATTCAGCTGTGTTTTCTCTTCTTTGTTACAACAACTTAGCAAGTTTTCAGCCCTTAAGACAGGCATTGAAATAATCTATGCACTGCAAAGATCTTAGCGGTTTGACGGAGTGGATTGAGACATCTTTTAGAGCTCAGGGACCAATGTCCCTGTTCCTTCCTAGAAGCAGAATAAATTATGCAGAATAGGCCAGCGTGTGGAAAGTCCAGCACTCTGCATATTTTAAGTGGATCATAGAATACTTTCCCGTGTTGGTGCATGGTTATTTAATTATGCATGTGTTTTGGAAGCGGAATGACAACATATTTATGAATAGGCCTTGTTTCCTTTCGTGCTGCTTTTGCAATTTCTAGTTTTGCACCAAGGAGGCCAAAAAAATTCCTCTTTAGGAAAGAGCGACGCCATTTCACGACGACGCCTGTTACTGCCCACAGCCGCATATCCTGACTCCTTATATAAGAACCAAGAGAGGGATCACAGTGAATTCTCTTTTAATGACACCTTCTTGACTGTTCCCTCAAATATACTGGGCATATTATTTGCAAGGGCAGATTCCTTAATGTCTTGATGTGCCCATAGATCATTTGCAAATTGCCTTTGGTCCCTGAACCATTGGGACCAAAGGGCTTAACATGGAACAAAATGCACAAGTATCAAAAAGCACCCCGGCTTTCCTGACTCACTTTCACCTTCCTGAGCACTGAGAATAGTATCCTAAGCTATTGTTCCATTTTGTGTGTGTTTTATTTCATCACCCTTCCCATTTCTGCAGTCTCAGTGCACCCGCCTTGGTTGTTTACATCCACGTCAAGCTCCCTCTGTGTTTAACTATTCCAACGTTTTCGTACGGTGCTTTCATGCTTACTCAATATAATCCCTTTATCATACCTGTGAGGTTCTGATATGTCTGGCAACCTAATAAGGGCAGGGACAATTGGTTCATGATTATCTCAAGCCTTTCTGTGTATGGGGGGGTGGTGGGGTGGATATCCTCTCACCTATGGCACATTCTTCCTTTGGAGATGCTTCAAAGTAGATTTGAGCATCTTTTGGAAACATTTTAGGTGTTCCCATTTGGGCTGGTTTTACTGGCTCCCACCCCAGGGACGCGGGTGGTGCTGTGGGCTAAACCACAGAGCCTAGGACTTGTTGATCAGAAGGTTGGCGGTTCGAATCCCCACGGCAGGGTGAGCTTCCGTTGCTCAGTCCCTGCTCCTGCCCACCTAGCAGTTCGAAAGCGCATCAAGTGCAAGTAGATAAATAGGTACCGCTCCGGCGGGAAGGTAAACGGCGTTTCCATGCGCTGCTCTGGTTCGCCAGAAGTGGCTTAGTCATGCTGGCCACATGACCCGGAAGCTGTATGCTGGCTCCCTCGGCCAATAAAGCGAGATGAGCGCCGCAACCCCAGAGTCGTCCGCGACTGGACCTAATGGTCAGGGGTCCCTTTACCTTTACTCCAGTTAAACTATTTGAGGGGCGAAGGTTTCAATTCAGTTTTTTTGCCAGCTGATAATTTTAAAAAACCGTAACATTTCTGTCACATGAAATGTTAGTTGTCCAAATAAAGAGAGGTCAGGATTTATGTTTTAATTAATAGAACAGATAAACTATGAGAATATCTTCAACAGGCAGACAAGATGATTTTGCACCGAGGAGATATCTCTGACTTTTTTTTTTTTGCCACGAGGTTTAAACATGCCATCATGAGGTCTAGATACTTAAAAAATACAAAAATGGAGGCCGTAGCTTTGAAAACACGTTAGATGTGGTCGCCTCGCCATTACTGTAAACAGTTGCCTGTCCCCCCCATCGTTATCTGAGCAAACAGCTCTACCTAGACCCTACAGCTTTGCAAGAGATCTGTACCAGCTGCTGAGATGCAGCGAGGTCTGGTATCTTCTAAAATAAGCTGCCGTTTCTTTGAATCAGCCAGGCAAGCCTTGTGGCACCTTCGCTGGCACGGCAGAAATATGCAGAGGGACGTGAAACTGCTATTAATAGCCAATTGACTCTGTGCTTTCAGCCTCCATTTTCTGATGCAAGGCAGTGTGTGGCGAGGGTATTCCTTTCCATGCGATTGCTTTGGTAGGAAATGGAGTCTGGCTCTAGTAAGATTTTTCAAAGGTGCTGCTTAACTGGGGTTTTGTTGTTTTAGAGAGCTAACGTAATGGAAGAGGGTCCTTTGGCTTATGGAACAGAAGATAGTAGCAGTTCAGGAGGCTTTCTCTCTCTTAAAAAAATGAAACCCATCCTTTGTGGCCTTAAACAATATGACTTTTCCTTCTGCCCAGCCAATTCGAGATGTATCGAGTTCTGCAACAGAGCCGTTACTGTGCTAGGCTAGAAAATACGGCCTTTTTCTTCCTCTTTTGGCCCACGATCTCTGCGGGTAATCGAATATAGGCAGATGAAAAGAGGAGCAAAGGCATTTTGCTAAATAGAGGCTTGTCACACACTCATAACATGATGCAGCAAGTTTCGGCGCAGTCCATTTTTTCAGCCGGAATGTACCAATTTTGACGGCTACGGGAGCTGGATGGGCTGATTAGTCAACCTGATAAATCGTCGTCGTCATTGGGTTGTACAGGGTGGGATGAGGGTCATGGTGCTTCTCTGGAAGGGAAACCCTTGTTAATTGCAGGTCAGGATCTGTCCTTCTCTACCCACCTGTCACACTGGGTCTGCTAAATGCAAGGAACAGATTAATTCCAGCAACTCCCTGAGCAAAAGTATTAATTAATTAATTACGGGTGCTATGTATTCAGAATCAAGGTTGCACTCCCAGCCCAATAATGTTGGTTTATTCTGGTTTGATTCTTCAAGGTTTTGTTAATTGCTCTGGCAGATACAGTGCTCGGGTTGTTGTTGTCATTTATGTAATAAAATGATTAATGAACTTGTGATGTTGAAGTCCACTTTGTGGCATTCTGGTCCAGATAGTTAAACAGGTGTAGGGCTGTGTGTTGTGCTGCAGAGGGCTGAAAATAATAATTTATGGAAAATAAGCAAATGTGTGCAAATCTTTTTCAGTGCGTATGGTTCATCCTGGTTCCTGAGCGCTGCTTGGGGCGCAGAATATTTAGAAGATGTATAAACTGCAGGATCAAATTGCTCTCCAAGCACTGTAGAAATGAAACCCTACAGAACATATAGAGAGTTGGAATATAGGGACGTTTCGGTGGGGAGAATGGAAGGAAACATGGCGTTATGCAGCTTTCTGGCCTAACTGCAGCAGGAAAACTGGGCAGGTTATTCCTCAAAGGTGACAGGCATCCGATTTAGGAGAACAACGCAAGTTTTATTAATTAATCGGGTATGGTGTGATGCCTGTCTCAGGGACTCTTATCACGGCTATAGAATAACTTCACCTTTTTAGTGCTGCTACTGACCATATTCTGTGGAATGGCATTCCTGTCCCGATACGACAGACGCCCACTCTCTGCACTTTGCAAAAACAACTGGAGACAGTTTTGTTCCGATAGGCTTTCCTAGACGAGTGAATGGTTCTCTGCCATCAGTGCCTATTTTGTATCGTTGCTTTAAATAAGTCTGCTTTTTTTGTTGGGAGTTGGTGTGTTAAAACTGGTTTTTATTGTACATTGTCCTGAGTGGATTGTGTAGTTTTGATATGTGGCTTGGACCGACTTTTCCTGTAGCTGCCCAGCCTTGGTGCAGCTGTTGCCCAAAAAAGAGGAAAGTCATCACTAAAGCACAGGTGTGCACACGTTAATTTCTATGTGTGGATGTGAATTTGGAAAGCACTGATAAGATTTAAATGGAGGTGCAGCACAGCTCACCATAGTGGGAAGAACTGAGCCAGGTAACCTGCATACCTGCTTGAGCTGCTCTCCAGGTGAATAACTTTGGGTGCTTGCAGGAATTTTTCCAAGGGGTGGAGGGCAAAGGAAAATGCAGAAGGCTAGTTATCTTCACCTCCACAAATAATGATGAGAAAATAAATCCTTGTCCATTTCCCCTCATATCTCAGAATCCACAGATGCTGGAAACTTAGGTTTTTTAAAAAAATGAAAGCTGGGGACCTCAAGATTATAGTTTGTGGTGGTGGTGGGGCAGAGAACTAACTCCTTGATGGGCACCCTCAAAGCCCCTGCTTTCCCTTCTTAAGTTGTTGTTTTTTAATCTTGCAAACGGACTCTGACCCTACAGCTTCGAAAATAGGGGAAAACCTTCAGATAGAGCAGGGGTCAGCAAACCTTTTCAGCAGGGGGCCGGTCCACTGTCCCTCAGACCTTGTGGGGGGCCGGACTATATTTTGAAAAAAAATAATGAACCTGTGCCCCACAAATAACCCAAGAGATGCATTTTAAATAAAAGGACACATTCTACTCATATCAAAACACACTGTTTCCTGGACCGTCCGAGGGTCGGATTTAGAAGGCAATTGGGTCGGATCCGGCCCCCGGGCCTTAGTGTGCCTACCTATGAGATAGAGGGCTGTCCTCTGCAATGCAGGACACATGGACAGGCCTTTGACCCTGGGTGGTTACTGCTGGGGACCCTGTAGGTTGTCGCTCATCGTGAACAGATCCTGCCGGTGAAAGCATTTGACAACATTCCCAGGTTGTTGGTTCAAAGGTTGGAAGAGGTTTCAGCAGCTTAGCAGCCAGAGACTGGAAAAGCATTACAGGAAATGTTCTGTAGGCACCACACGGGCTTCCCTTAGGCATCTGGTCGGCCACTGCCAGACGAGGGTGATGGACTAGGTCCCTCCATCTTTTCTTAAGCTCTGCTATTTTTCTAGAAAAATAGGAACTCTTCATGAACGCCTCCCTTGTTATCCTAGAATGGCAGTGGCGCAAAGGTGCTCGAAATGCGTTTTGGCGAGTTCCCTGTCCCTCCTTAATTGTGGTGCTTGAAAAAACCAGCCATAAACGTTGCCTAGGCCCAGGGACCAACTTGGCAACCTTGCTCTCTCGGTTTTCAAACTTAATCCGTTCCAAGGATCAATGGGATGGCTGCAAAGTCAATGGGGGAATAAAAAGAAAAACGCAGCTCGGAAGCCGTTCATTCCAAAACCAGAGCAGTTACTTCCGGGTTTTCAGCGTTCGGGGGCCAAAACGTTTCAAAACGGAGGTGTTCGGGAACTGAGGTTGGACGGTACATTCAAACCCCCACAGATACAGGAGCCCAAGAATTGGAAGGGGTTTGGGGCATCAGTGCCCATCTCTTTCGGGGGCTCAATTAGTGCCAGCGCATTCTGCCAAGAGCTTGGGTGTAACCTTTGACACCTCCCTTTCCATGGAGGCGCAGGTTGCAGCCACAGCAAAGGTGGCATTTTTCCATCTCCGCGTATTAAGCAGTTGGTCCCTTACCTTTCTTGCCCTGATGTGGCCACAGTGATCCACGCGACGGTCACCTCCAGGCTTGATTACTGTAACTCGCTCTATGCAGGGCTGCCCTTGAAGCTGACCCAGAAATTCCAGCGGGTGCAGAATGCTGCGGCAAGGCTCCTTACGGGGTCCTTGCCGCGGGATCACATTCATCCAGTGCTTTACCAACTGCAGTGGCTCCCGGTGGAGTACAGGGTCAGGTTTAAGGTGCTGGTTTTGACCTTTAAAGCCCTATGCGGCCTAGGACCCACATACCTATGGGACTGCCTCTCCTGGTATGCCCCGCGGAGGAACTTAAGGTCCACAAATGACAACACTTTGGAGGTCCCAGGTGGCAAGGTGGTTAGATTGGTCTCAACTAGGGCCAGGGCCTTTTCAGCACTGGCCCCGACTTGGTGGAACGCTCTGTCACAAGAGACTAGGGCCCTGCGGGACTTGACATCTTTCCGCAGGGCCTGCAAGACAGAGCTGTTCCGCCTGGCCTTTGGTTTGGACTCAGTCTGACCCTTAGGTTTCCTTCCCCTTATGGTCTTGATTTATTGGCTACTTTTAAAATGAGGCTGCATTTTAAATTGCATTTTAACCTGTATTTTAAATTGGGGTTTTTCCCCCCATAATTTTTTTTTACTGTGATTTTATTGGTGTTAGCCGCCCTGAGCCCGGCTCTGGCCGGGGAGGGCGGGGTATAAATAAAATTTATTATTACTATTATTATTACTATGATTATGATGCAGACTGTTCCCTCCCCTCTGCCCCATAAATCACAACATCAACAGCATTCTCTGTATAGGAAAACCTTTTAATGTGTAATGTTTTATTATGTTTTTATATATATTGGAAGCTGCCCAGAGTGGTTAGGGCAACCCAGTCAGATGGGCAGGGTATATTAATAATAATAATAATAATAAATTGCACTTGGATTTTTCAGTGCAGGAATATGCACTTGTCCCATAGGGGGACTGAACTTGCAACCTTGGCATCATCAGCACCATGTTCTAACTAGCTGAGCTAAAGCCCTTACAAAAACTTCCCCCCTCTTTTCCCAACCTGTTAGATGGGGAAAGGCTCCTTCAAGTACGCCTGGGTGCTGGACAAGCTGAAGGCTGAGCGTGAGCGAGGGATCACCATCGACATCTCTCTCTGGAAGTTCGAGACCACCAAGTACTACATCACCATCATTGACGCCCCCGGGCACCGGGATTTCATCAAGAACATGATCACGGGGACTTCGCAGGTGAGAAAGGGGAGGCTGTTCATCGCAGGGCAGGGGGCAGGGGACACCTTTGGGTCGTTCCCTGAGCGCCAGCACAGCGCCAACATCCTTTTTTCCTGGATGGGTCCCTGACAGCAAAACTGTGTGACCTGGATTTTTTTTTAAATGGAAGTCCTAGGAACCTGGTCTAGCTTTGTACTCTGGCTGGCCAAATGGCGAAGCTAGCATGCTTTGTGCGTTGGAAAGGGGCCGTAGAAATTCTTAAAAATGCATTTGGAGCGTGCTGTCTCCTCCCTGCTTTCCTGGGAATAAAAAAAGAAAGAAAAAAGGACGAACTCCCTAAAGGAGCCATCAACTATTTATAGGAGCAGATGGCACTATCAGTTTTCAGGTATCAAGCCAACAGTTTGTAGAACTTGTTGAGATACAATATTGGAAGGGAAGATGGGATATTAGGAGCCCAATACGTACCTGTTTTGTTTAGGAAAACTCAGGGGGTGCTGCTGTTTCCCAAAACACGTCGTTTGTTTATTTACTTATTGTGGTTATATTCTACCTTTTCCTGCAAGTGGCTCTCCCCTCCGCCATCTGCTTTCTAAAACAGTACATGAACTGAAACACAGTCATCTTTTGAAACTCGCACCCCTCCAAATTTGTAATGCTGGTCCGCAAGCCAAACAATGGGTGCTGAAATTGGCTGTGCATTCAGTATAGTGGGCCTCGGCCTGTGGAACTCCCTCCCACCTGAGATTAGGCAGACCCCCCTCCTTGTTGAACTTCCAGCAAAAGACAAAGACGTTCTTATTCCAGCAGGCGCCTTAAGGCCTTTAGTTTGGTTTCATGATGGATTTTTATTGTTTTATTTTCCCATTTTCTATGGATTGTTTTTATGTACAGGTGGCAACCCTTTTGCGCAAGGGTTCTGTTCCTGGCGCCCGTGTGTGTCGGCAGAGTGCAAAAAACCCACCTCATTCTGGCCCAGCTCTGCTTTTTTCTAAAAGGGGCCTAAGCACCGGTTGTGCGTCAGTTGCACACAAATCAGTGCAAATCGGTCACTGCCTGTACAGTGCTTAGAAATGGGAAATGTACTTTAAAATGCAACACAGTGGTTACCTCGGTTTTCAAATGTAATCTGTTCTGGAAGACCGTTCGAGTTCCAAAACGTTCGAAAACTCAGTATGGAAGCCTCAATAAATACGGAAAACTCAATATGGAAGCTGCGTGGCCTTTTCGACTTCTGAGACGAGTTCGAAAACCAAAGCATTTACTTCCGGGTTTATGGCGTTCAGAAACCAAAATGTTCGTCAACGGAGACGTTTGAAAACCGAGGTACCGCTGTATATTGCTTGGCAAAAAATGTGCGTATTGGGAGCCGTTTGCACTAAAATGCTTGATGTTGTTTTTTAATTTTATTTTACAAAACGGTGATAAAAGTTTCACGAGGACTTCTTTAAAAGATTGCGAGCCGATGTGGAAAAGTGGAACTTAAGATTGGGGGAAAGAAACGAGAAATGGAGAGAGAATGAAACGGGGAAATCTTCCTGTGACGTTTTGCAAACCGTCATGCGCAAACCGCCACACTCCTAAGTGTGTCTGTGCCTTGTTTCCCTACAGGCCGACTGCGCCGTCTTGATTGTGGCTGCTGGGGTAGGCGAGTTCGAAGCCGGCATCTCCAAAAATGGCCAGACCCGTGAACACGCCCTCCTGGCGTACACCCTGGGCGTCAAGCAGCTCATCGTGGGCATTAACAAGATGGACTCCACGGAGCCGCCATACAGCGAGAAGCGCTACGATGAGATCGTCAAGGAGGTCAGCGCCTACATCAAGAAGATCGGCTACAACCCAGCGACCGTTCCCTTCGTGCCCATCTCTGGCTGGCACGGCGATAACATGCTGGAGCCGTCTCCCAACGTAAGTCACTGGTGGGCGGTGCTAGGCTATGTTCACATGAGGTTTGCAGCTCCAGTTGGGTCCAATCGAAGCTGGAGAAGCTCCTCCGTCGTCATCTCCCAGGGACAGGGAAGTCGACTTGCGAATACGAGAAAGGTTGGCTTGAAGAGGGAGTGTTAAGGCAGGCCAGGTGGAGCCTAGGCAGTGTTAGAAACTCGAATATATAAGCTAGGTGCCGAATGGCTCCTTAAACCACGGTTAGGGATGCTTAGCTGCCATTTTGGGAGCCATTTTGGCTGCTTGAAAGTTGTATTTTCAACACGACTTTCTGCTTCCTGAAATTTGTTCTCCTTGGGCAGATAAAATATTGTGGATAGAATTCTACAGGATGGCTTGCTAGTATAATAATAATAATGATGATGATAATAATAATAATAATAATAATAATAATAATAATAATAATAATTTATTTGTACCCCGCCCATCTGGCTGGGTCTCCCCAGCCACTCTGGGCGGCTTCCAACAAAGATTAAAAATACATTAAAATGTCACACATTAAAAACTTCAGGTGTCTTCTAAATGTCAGGTAGTTTTTTATCTCTTTGACATCTGACGGGAGGGCGTTCCACAGGGCGGGCGCCACTACCGAGAAGGCCCTCTGCCTGGTTCCCTGTAGCTTTGCTTCTTGCAATGAGGGAACTGCCAGAAGGCCCTTGGTTCTGGATCTCAGTGTCCGGGCTGAACGATGGGGGTGGAGACGCTCCTTCAGGTATACTGGACCGAGGCCATTTAGGGCTTTAAAGGTCAGCACCAACACTTTGCATTGTGCTTGGAAACGTACTGGGAGCCAATGGTTGACACTACCTGCTGACATCGAAAGGGTTCTTTCTGAGGGTGGTAGCCAATTAAGTTTCACTCAGAGTAAACCAGAGTAAACTAGGCGTTTCGTCTTGGTGACTGTAACCCTGGGTTAAGGAGCCATTTGGCACCTACTGTAGCTTATATACATCTCTGAGTTTCTGATATATATAAGCTACAGTAGGTGCCAAATGGCTCCTTAAACCAGGGTTACAGTCACCAAAACGAAACTGCCTAGTTGCCATTTTTGGGCCAGATCTAAAGTCTTGTTTTTCAATACAAGTTTTTGGTTCCTGAAATTCATTCTCCTTGGGCAGATAAAACATAACAGGTAGAATTCTACAGGATGTGTTTCTGGTGTGTGAAAAGAATCAACATCCAGGGACTCCCAGGCATCCACCTCCAGATGGTGGAGATGTCAGATGTCATCCTGGCGCCTGGGCATCTTCACTTGGTAGCAAGTGGCAGAAAGCCAGGTGCAAAATGCGCCTGGTGAATTTAAAACGCTGAGCCTATGTGGAGAGGCTGTCCTGTCTGCGGGGCTGTGCCTTGCGAAAACCTGACATTCCTGGCTGAATCGGATCTCAACAATTGCCCGGAAAAGATCCAAAGGCAGATTTTGCATAGCTGAGTTTCAATCGAGTGGGTAAGATCGGATTTTTGCAAAGCAGAGCCACAGAACTCTTGGGCTCGTGGGAATTAATTTGTCCACAATACAATCAAAATATGGGCCCAGCGAAAGTGGATGAGCCCTCCGTTTATGCAGGGTGACAGAAAACCTAGTCGTTACTCAATATGAGCATGAATCAAGGACGCCCTGTAATCCTTGAGAATCTGCCGCCATCTTTCAATTGTTCTTTATTGGACCAATCAATGCACATAGGGTTCCCTGAGGCTAAGAAGTTTGGAATACATTACTTTGGGGCACCACTTGCCGTCAGTGCTGGAGTTGTGAGCTGTATAATTTCTTTTTGGGATGACTTAAGGACGCGGGGGGCGCTGTGGGTTAAACCACAGAGCCTAGGACTTGTCGATCAGAAGGTCGGCGGTTCGAATCCCTGCGACGGGGTGAGCTCCCGTTGCTCGGTCTTTGCTCCTGCCAACCTAACAGTTCGAAAGCACGTCAAAGTGCAAGTAGATAAATAGGTACCGCTCCGGCGGGAAGGTAAACGGCGTTTCCGTGTGCTGCTCTGGTTCGCCAGAAGCGGCTTAGTCATGCTGGCCACATGACTTGGAAGCTGTATGCCGGCTCCCTCGGCCAATAAAGCGAGATGAGCACCGCAACCCCAGAGTCGGCCACGACTGGACCTAATGGTCAGGGGTCCCTTTACCTTTACCTAAGGCCTAGTTCTTAACAAGATAAAGGGTTTCTGGCCTGGTCTGTACTACTACTTAAGTTTTTTGTTTATTGATTCAAAGCGTTGAAAATAAATAAATAAATAAATTTTTATTTATATCCCGCCCTCTCCATCCGAAGCCGGGCTCAGAGCGGTTAATAACAGTAAAATGATACAACATTCTAAAATCATTTCATTCTAAAATCAGTTCAAATCAGATTAAGGGCAACCATTGGGCTCTGTGAAGATTGCCAAAGGAGTGGGTCAGGTTGTGCCCTGGCCAAAGGCCTGGTGGAACAGCTCTGTCTTGCAGGCCTGTGGAATGATGTCAAGTCCCGCAGGGCCCTAGTCTCTTGTGACAGAGCGTTCCACCAGATCGGGGCCACAGCCAAAGAAACCTGCTATTCAGCTGGAAAAGGTTCCCAGAGCAGTTTGCATACCAGTAAAACTAGTGCATTAATCCGAGCATCAGAGAGAGCCCCTTTCTCCACTAAAGGAGGTTTAAATAGCTACTTAAATACTATGATGTGAAAGATGATTATTGTGATGACCACACAGCCTTTATTCCGGGTTGTATCTGGGAGCGGAAGAAGCTGCTGTCCGGCTGCTCCCCTCGGCCTCAGTTGCAATGTCTGTAAAATGGGAATAATGGTGGCTGAGTTCAGAGTTATTGTGAGGGCAGGCCCAGCACCGGTCGTGTAGCACTCTGCAAACCAAACAAGTAATCGTTTGCCACTGCCTGTTAAAAGCTTTTTTAGCCAATTATTTTAATCAGCGTACCCAAAGCCCAGACAGCTGAATGTCGGCAGCTGCCAGTGCTGGAGAGATGACACTGAACAATCTAATTGAAAATAGGTTTGGGGAAAACAGGGTGATGTCATTTTGGAATTTATACTTCCTAAATATGGAGGTCAAGCGAGACAGGGCAGCAGTACGTCGTTGCAAATCTGTGTCTAGTGGGGCGTTGCTGGGCTTGTGATTGAAAGCTGAGCACCCTCTACAATCTGGTTCCCAGAACTTTTAGATGCAGCAGAACCACCTATGTTAGGAGGAGGAATGCTCACAAAAACCTGACAGATATTTTGCGAGGATGCAGAAATGCATAGCTGTCAACTTTTCCCATTTCTTGCGAGGAATCCTATTCTGAATAAGGGAATTTCCCTTAAAAAAAAAGGGAAACGTTGACAGCTATGCAGAAATGTGGGGAGCTCAAATTCAGAGTGGGAAATTGAGGGAAACTGAAATGGATAGATAGATAATGTCCGCCTCTACAGTTGACCCATCACTGCAGTTGTATGGGGTACCTCAGTTGTCGAACGCAATCCGTTCTGGAAGACCGTTCGACTTCCGAAACGTTTGACAACTGAGGTGTAAAAAGCTGTTCAACTTCTGAGGTGTGTTCAAAAACAGAAACATTTACTTCCGGGTTTTTGGCGTTCGAAAACCAAAATGCTCTGCTTCCGAGACGCTCGAAAACCGAGGTACCACTGTATTGTGCTGAGGCATCCACATCGATGTCCAATTCCTGGGAAGGAATTTCTTTCCTCCCTTTTGAGGGAAAGAACGGGCATGTGAGGGCCTTCTGGAGGACTGGGGCATCATGTGGATATAGCCATGAGATGCTCCACTTTTTTGGGGGGGGGGTATTTTGAAAAGTATGAACTGGGGCTTTGCCTGGCCAACAGAGTGGTCACTCTGTCTTGCTCTTGTTCCTGCATCAGTTTGCTAGATGCTAGATCATTTATTATGGTCAAAGACCAGCTCAAATAACATAACACAATAAAAACAGCGTTCATAAAGATAAAATACAGTGGTACCTTGGGTTAAGTACTTAATTCGTTCCGGAGGTCTGTTCTTAACCTGAAACTGTTGTTAACCTGAAGCACCACTTTAGCTAATGGGGCCTCCTGCTGCCGCCGCGCTGCCACAGCACGATTTCTGTTCTTATCCTGAAGCAAAGTTCTTAACCTGAAGCACTATTTCTGGATTAGCAGAATCTGTAACCTGAAGCGTATGTAACCCAAGGTACCACTGTATACAATTGGAGCAGATTGCAGCAATAGCTCGTGAGCTAAAATTGAGATATATACATACACCCGTACAACTGAGATTTGGGCTACCGTAAAAAATTGAACCTGAGGTGCCCTAAAGGGCGACTTCAGCATTTCCCTAGTAAGGTATCCTCTGCATCAGTTTGTAACTCCACAGCTTCTCACCGTTTTCAGTTCCTCCAATGTTTGTGAGTCTCTGGGCTTGCCAAAATTTAATAATTACATTTTTTTACTTGCCCTTTTCCGTGAGGGTCCCAGCAACTTAAAAATACGTCGAATCAAAACAGATCACATTCAGGAGAATAGGGTGGTTCCTAAAGTGCATAACCAAACAGACACCCTCCCCCCAAAATAGTTACATGAAACCGAGAGGAAAAACGAATACATTGAAAGCATCCTGCCTATTTCTAAAAGGCTACACAGATAGTTAAAGGCCTAAGGCCTAAAGAGGGAAGTTTTCACCTGGTGCCAAAAGATATGTATTGAAGGTGCCAGGCGAGCCTCCTTGGGGAGAGCATTCCAGAAACGGAGCCACCACAGATGAGGCCCTGTTCTTGTGTTGCCACCCTTCGGACCTCTTGTGGAGGGGGCACATGAAGAAGGGCCTCAGATGATAATATCGGGGTCTGGGTTGGTTCATATGGGGAGAGGTGGTCCTTGGGGGATTGCGGTCCTGAGAGTGTGACCTCTGCTGGACCGTCACCTCCCCAAAAACATCAGAAGGCAGTGGCAGTACCAAGAGTGTCCCCTTCACTGATTTTCACACGCGTTGTTATGTACTGAGTTGAATAGGATCCAAAATGCAGCAGTCTGATTGGTCCTAGAACAGTAGGATTCAGAATGCATCAGTCTGATTGGTCCACAGGAGCCACCCAATCCAGCTCCAGGTGGAAGTGAATCCGCAACCTGATTGGCCTACAGGAGAATTCCGGAATTAGCCAATCACATGGGGCCCATTGTGTAAATAATGTATATAAAGCAGACATTATGGGAGAACTTCCATTCCTCCTCACCACTATGAGCTGAATAAAGAGCATGAAATCCACTCTCGACTCCGAGTATATTTCACGCGTCTTTAAAAGGAAGGAGGATGTCTTTCAGATAATGGCGCTAACTAGCTAGAGAGCCTTTGTGGGAAAAGGGCAATAGGTGTCTCCGTACAACACTCAGCACCCTGGAGAAACTACATTCCCCATAATTCTTTGGGGAGCAAGCCAGGAATTTAGAGTAGAATGACGCTGCTGTAAATGTTTGGTGCTAGGGTATTGTTTAGGGATTTTTGTTGATGGGGTTGTTGCTGTTATCGATGCTAACTCTTTGTATCTTTTGTTTTAGATCTTACGATTTACGTGGAAATTGTTCAGTTCCTTTGTGCATTTTTTTGATGTTATATTTATTGCCTATGGCTGCTTTCGTTACGTTGTGTTTATGTGTCTTTTTTGTGTTGTAAGCTGCCTTGAGCGTGGTTTGAACTTTGGAAAGGCGGCATACAAACAAAATTATGTATGTATGGTGTGACTGTGGCCTAGGACTGGGCAGATCTGGGTTCAAATCCTTAGCCAGCCATGAAGTTTACTGGCTGACGTTGGGCCACCCTCGGTATCTCAGCCTAACTAAACTTCCAGGGGTGTTGAGGGTAAAAATTGGGGGCGGCAGCGGCGCATGTCGTCTATGTTCAACTCTTTTGAGGAAAGGTAGGTTGTAAGAGCAAATAGAGAATTGCTTGGTTAAATTTCTGTAAGAGATTATTATGCTTAGTGCTCTATAGATCTTTTCCTGTGTGCTCAAAGCAGTTCACATACATCATCTTAGCCGCTTTCAACAACAACCTTGTAAGGCAGACCACTGTAACAGGTGCATTAATACAGACTAGAGGCAGGGCTGAGATTAAAGAAGTTAGTGTCTTGCTGCTTAATGAGTTCAAAAGAGATTTGAACCAGGGCCTTGCCAGCTCGCAGCGGTCATTAGGCTTAGTCCTCAGAAGCAAATAAGGACGATTCCTTGCATCGCCAATGAAAATCTGTTCCTCGGGGTGTTTTGTGTTGCATCTGAGAGCGTTCCCCTCACTTCAAACGCAGGCTGTAGAATTGGTCTAAGAGCAGTGATGGCCAAACTTGGCCCTCCAGCTGTTTTTGGACTACAACTCCCATCATCCCTAGCTAACAGGACCAGTGGTCAGGCCTGATGGGAATTGTAGTCCCAAAAAACAGCTGGAGGGCCATCACTGGTCGAAGAGGGTATGTTTCCTGCGATTCCGCAGTCCCATGAACAAATGGAGAATTTGGCGTTAGATGTAAATTCCAGTGGCTTGAGTACGTCTCCTTTCGGAAATGCAACCTCTTAGCCCTTAGGACCGCAGGGATAAGCTTGAATTTTCCATGCAGATTGCCTCAGAAGCTGGTGGGAAAGTGAGAGTGAAGGAAACGGGGTGCAGAATAAATTATACATAATAAGGTGACACGTGCAAATTGGCTTTGTGTGCATAACCTACGCAGGTCAAAGCGTTCAGGTTTTGTGATGCGTAACTTGCAAAAGTGATTTTGGTACTGAATTTTGCCTGTATGGTGTTGTCTTTCGCTGCTCAGACAGAGACGCTCTGTTTTCCTGAATAGCATTTCTTTTCAGAAACGTGGAGGTCCTGTTCTTTCCTCTTCCCTTTCTACCCTCCAGATCTCTTTATATTCCCTTCCTTTCTCCTGGCTGGGCTGGGGCTTCTTCCTTAATGCGGAAGCTAGTCAGGTGACCCTCTGAGCCTCTCATGTGACCACCTTGAAATTCAGCAAGTCAGCGTTGGTGTGTTGGCGGAGATTAGTTTCTGTGAATCCTCTTGACGGTTCTGCACAGCTGGGCTAATGCTTTGTGACCTCCTTCAGGGAATACAGGACATGGCTTGGATGCAAGACAGATAGTCTTGGTGGCTAGGAAAATGTGGGAGGGGATGTCCACAGAAGTTTCAAAATGAAGTCACCTTTAAAGATGTAGAAAATCAGTGAGTGGGTGGCTGCTAACTACTCTCTCTCTCACACACTTGCAATTGCTAAATTGGTTAGGGGATTTGATAAAACGATGTACATTTAAATTTCAGGGCAGGTAAACGGAACATCCAGGGATGCGGGTGGCGCTGTGGGTTAAACCACTGAGCCTAGGGCTTGCCGATCAGAAGTTCGGCGGTTCGAATCCCCGTGACGGGGTGAGCTCTCGTTGCTCGGTCCCTGCTCCTGCCAACCTAGCAGTTCAAAAGCACGTCAAAGTGCAAGTAGATAAATAGATACCGCTCCAGCGGGAAGGTAAACGGCATTTCCGTGCGCTGCTCTGGTTCGCCAGAAGCGGTTTAGTCATGATCCACATGAACTGGAAGCTGTACGCCAGCTCCCTCGGCCAATAAAGCGAGATGAGCGCCGCGACCCCAGAGTCGTTTGCCACTGGACGTAACTGTCAGGGTTCTTTTACCTTTACCTTTCTTGAAGACTGGTCTGTCCATAACAGCTGCATTCAGCAGAAAATAATATTCAGAGTCCACTGGACTCCAGCAAAACTTTACGAGAGGAAAATAACAAATGCAGACAACTGCTGGAGATGTGGAAGTAAAAATGCGAACTTAGTACATATGATTAACTGCCGGATGATAATATCATTTTGGTGCGAGATGAAGATATATATAGCAAGAGTAAAAAAAAAAGAAATTGCTATTTAGGGGAATTGAATTTAATTCTAAATTATATACCAGAAACGTGGGAGATTACAAGGGGTCAAAACAAAATATGGATGTATCGTGCCATATTAGAAGCAAAAAAACTTGTTCTGATGAATTGGAAGAGCCGCAAAAAGATTCCATTGAGCACATGGATTGACAATATGGACAGACTAGCCACATACGAACGAATTGCATGTCGATGCAAATTAAGAATGGATAAATATGAAGAAATCTGGAAGGGATATTTAAGCGATTAGGCGGACGGTGGTGGAAAGTAGGGGGATGAGAGGTGGGGAAATATTGTTAAAAAGGTGTAGTCATAGGTATATCAGTACTCAAATCTGAAATGTTAAATTGTGTTATTAATGTTATTGCGGTTTTTGTTGTATGTGTTTTTTGTGGTTGTTGTTTGTATTGAAAAAACGACTAAAATTTTTTTTTTAAAAAAGATGAGCGCCGCAACCCCAGAGTTGGTCACGACTGGACCTAATGGCCAGGGGTCCCTTTACCTTTTTAAAAATGGAACCTCCAGGGGGAGGTGCAGTGTTGCTGGAGGCAGACGATGGAAGGCAGGCTGTTGCTATCCTGCCCTGCCCTACTTTTGGGTTTTGTAGACACATCTGGAAGGTTGCTATGGAAAGCTGGATTGCCGACGAGATGGAGCTTTCTTCTGATCCGGCAGGCCTCTTCTTTCCGTTGCTACGCAAACGTTGCATTGGCTTCTAATTTTTTTAGCTTGTTAACATACAAGTGGAACGTAGCAGCGGGTGCTTTCTCAACCGAAAAGGCCCAAAGGTCTCGATAACCAGGAGCTCTGTGCCCAAACTTGTGAAGCTAAAGTATAAAATATAAAAGGCGCGTTAAAATTGCTGCTGAAATCGGGTGTTGAAAGGAAGGCTAGCCTAAAGGGTTTTCGAAACAAAAGCAGCAGTTAGAAAAAATAAAATTATGTGTTATGAAACACATATTTAAAAACATGTCAGACTTATATGTCTGGGGTGGCTGGCTTAAACGAAAATGTTTTCAGCAGGATATTTAAAGTGTTGTGGAGCTCTAGTTCCCATTAGCCCCAGCCAGCATGATCAAGGGTCAGGGAATGAATGAAGGAATTTATTACTGTATTTTTCTGTGTATAAGACACCCCCATATATAAGACTCCAAATTGGGGACTCCAAATTAAGAGAACAGCCCTCAGCACTACCCGTGTATAAGATGAGCCCCAATTTTAAACCTAAAAAAACCCCCAAAAAACGTAGTCTTATACACGGAAAAATATGGTAATTTCGGTCACAGACCAGTTCCAGCTCACATACAATATCAGGGAAATCACAAAACACGATAGGGATACATTTGAATTTGCAATTGGGTATAACAGGGACAGTACAGATATTGCAGCAGTTAAAAATATGTAAGTTAAATCTTAATCACTAAAATATAACCTAAAATTGTCATTTAAGGCCTTGGTCATTAAGGTAGCACAGCTTGTTCCCTAAGTTTTATGGCAGGTGCACAGAATTTGGCCACACTTAGTGTGATCTCTAGATCCTTGTTCTCTACCAGGGATTTTAGACATAGGGTCAGGGATAATGGCAGAAGTGGTTGATCAACATCTGGCATTGGAGAGAGGACAGCTTCTCCATCCCTTCCTTAAACTGGGTTCAAATCACCATTTGGCCACAGGGTAAGAATTGATGACTGGTGCAGCCTACCTTTACGGGGTTATTGTGTATGGATGCTGCCTTGAGTTATTTGGGGGGTAAGGGCCGTAAATAAGGAAGCTACGCAGTGGCAGTTCCAATGGTTGTTCATGCTTTCTTTATTTAGAAGATGTCTTAAATCTCACTGCATTCAAAGGACCTCAAAGCAATGGACGAAAAAAAAAAATCAAATGCGGTAGATAAGAGTTTCTAAACTGTGTGCAAAGCTGAGATCCAGTACCATAGAAAAGAACATCAAAGCTATGTACAAAATAAAAATTTGACTACCATACGAAAATAAAACTGGGAAGAAGGGGAAAAAAACCCACCTCAATTTATGGTGCAAAAATCCAGGAGAGGGATCTCAAAGTGGAAGTTCAGATGTATTGCAAAAGAAATCAGAACTATATATCAAACACATCTCAAAGTCAGGACAAAAAAATAAATATCTCAGTAACAGTATGAGAAATAAAAATCAAGTGCAGGACAATATAATCATATAAAAACCTTTTAAAATTATGTTGTGTTAAATCAGTGACAGTTGCAGAATCCTAACCAATCAATCTGTGGAACAAAGACAGCTTTCTTTTTTCTTTCTTTTTTAAATAGTATTTATTAAATTTTCCATTTTAACAATCCAATAAAAATCACAACGAAACATTCCAAATGATTATTTAATCACAAAAAGTCAAAGATTCGATGCCAAATTATAGATCTTAGAAAGACCGCTAACCCTGTGGCTGTATTCTAGGGAAGCTTGCTCGCTCGGGACAAAACCTTCCCTTCCAATAATTCATCTTAGACTTGTAGAATTGGCAGGGACCACAGGGGTCATCTAGTCCAACCCCCTGCAATGCAGGAATCTTTTGCCCAAGGTGGGGCTCAAACCCCTGACTTTGAGATTAATAAAGAGTCTCGTGCTCTACCAACTGAGCCAACCGAGTTTGACTGGGCATTTGTGGCCTGAGTCTGGGGAATGGGTGACTTGCCTTTGGGAAACTGACCTTAGCAAGTTTTGCACAATTGTCCTGAGATTATGGGAGAAGCTGATCTTGGAGTGAGCTGCTAGGGTTAACACTGGCCTGGTGTTGTGGGAGATACACCCCCCCCCTTGGAAACCACCCCCCCAAACTTATCTACAGATGGAGGCAGACTGCTAATCTCTGATAATACCTGAAGGAGTGTCTCCACCCCCATTGTCCAGCCCGGACACTGAGGTCCAGCTCCGAGGGCCTTCTGGTGGTTCCCTCCCTGTGAGAAGTGAGGTTACAGGGAACCAGGCAGAGGGCCTTCTCGGTGGTGGCGCCCGCCCTATGGAACACCCTCCCATCAGATGTCAAGGAAATATACAACTACCTGACTTTTAGAAGACATCTGAAGACAGTCCTGTTTTGGGAAGTTTTTATTTTTTTATTTTTTACCAACAACCAAAACAACAGTGAAACCCCCCAGGCGGCTGATACATTGGGTATACATAATCAAGAATAACATATTCAAATCAACCATATGTACAATTTTATATATGTTAACACTCCTCCATCCACAAGGTTTATTTAAGTGTTTTGGGAAGTTTTTAATGTTTGATGTTTTATCGCTTTTTTAATTAATATTTATTCATATTCTGTTGGGAGCCACCCAGAGTGGCTGGGAAATGTGTGTGTGTGTGTCTAAATAAATAAAAATAAAATAAAATAATCTCAAATTGCTCTGGGAAGCAAAGGAAGGATTGTATCCTTCAGTTCCTGCCCTTGTGATGAGGGAGTGATTCATACGGCTGGGCGAAGGTGTTCTCATGTGCCAACAGTTCCTTCCTCACAGCCCACTGGATCCACACTCCCGCCATTTTGTTTTGCAGATGCCTTGGTTCAAAGGCTGGAAAGTGGAGCGCAAGGAAGGGAACGCCAGCGGAGTGTCGCTGCTGGAAGCTCTGGATACCATCCTGCCCCCCACCCGCCCCACAGATAAGCCTCTGCGCCTGCCCCTTCAAGATGTCTACAAGATCGGAGGTGAGTCCAGCGCTTTCCTGGCAGGTAGACAGGTGCCCTCGCTGGGCTAGGCGGATTTCCAGGCAGTAATCCGCTTTTGTAGTCTAAGCGACAGGAAGAGAAGAGGATTTGAGTGCTGACACCGGCATTTACCTGTGTGCATTATAGATGGCAAGGTACGTAGCAATTGTGCCTGTCGCCTGAAGGTGCCCTGACCGTTCGGTTTTGGCAAGAAGTCAGTTTCTCATCCTCATAATTGCGGAAGCAGGTTTGAAATGGCAGCGATGAACATGCTAAAAGAGGGGAAACGAGAGACATGAAAAAGACACTTCTCTATTCTACTGTCCAACACTTCGCCTTTCTTTTTTTATATATATATTTTATTAAGTTTTACAATTTTATATTCAACACAGTCACCATTATCACAAAAAAAATATAAATCCCAATCTCTCTCCCCCCCCCAAACTTCCCTCAGCCTCCTCTTCTGGTTCTTTAAATATTTGCTTTTCCTGCTTTTTTATTATTATTCTACCTTAATTTTGTAATCTTTAACTTAAATCTTCCTATCTTTTTATATCATATTTTTTTCCAATTACATCTTGCACTTTGTTATTTTCCAGTTATTACATCTTAATATTGGTTTCTTAATTGTGTTTACTCAAACCCTGCTAGTGAGTCCACTTCTTTACAATATTTCTGTAGATACATCGTAAATGGTTCCCAGTCTTTTTTAAAGTCTCTATTGTCCTTGTCTCAACACTTCGCATTTCTAAGTTCATTTGCCGAAGGTCACTCACAAGCTCTTTCAGAATATTTCACACTTGAAGATACATTTCACAAATAATAATAATGCAGCCTCTTTGAAAAACCTGTCGCTTGCAAAACCTCCTAGCATTGGTAGAGTTGCTGCGATGTTCCATTCCTTCAAATTTATTTAAGACATTTATGTGCCGCTTAATTATTTTTAGGGTGCAGAGTACACCCATTTTACTGCTGGAGTGCATTGATCGGTTGGTTGTAGCCCACCTTAGGAAGGTATACTGTATATTCTCTCCCCTTCCCCAAAGTGTCTTATAACATAAACTACAACGTAAAAAAAGACATAATTTAAAAACAGCCATTCAGAAAGCAGTTAGCAGCATTAAACGGCGGCAGCAGGTGGAACGGTTCTTTAACAACCATGAAATCCCCAAAATGCAGACCAGAATATAAAGCATCTCTAGGCTTTCCATGAAAGGGGCTGCAGAGTCGTGTGCTGTCAGTTATACGCAGCTTAAATTAACAGAATTGCCGTTGGGCCTGCAGTTTCCTATGTTTTCCCAAAAGTTGTGTTTTTAAGTTGTCCAATGTTATATCCAGTGCTAAACTCTTGCAGTTCCTCTTCAGTCATGTCCACACCATTCATTTAAACTGCTGTGATAACACTTTCAACAGCCACAACTTTCCCCAAAGGATTCTGGGAACTGTAGTATGTTGAGGATGTTGACAGTTGTTAGGAGACACCCTGCTCCCCTTTCAGAACTACAGTTTTCAGAGCACCCTGGGAACTGTAGCTTTGTGAGGGCACCGGGGGTTTCCTGACAACTCTCGGCACCCGTAACAAACAACAGCTCCCATAATCCCTTGGGGGGGAAGCCATAGCAATGTGAAGTGGCGTCATAGTTATCTCCTGCTTGGACTACTGCCATGCGCTCTCCGTGGGGCTCCCTTTGAAGGTGACCCGGAAACTACAACTAATCCAGCATGCGGCAGCTAGACTGGTGACTGGGAGCGGCCGCTGAGACCACATAACACCAGTCTTGAAAGACCTACACTGGCTCCCAGTACGTTTCTGAGCACAATTCAAAGTGTTGGTGCTGACCTTTAAAGCCCTAAACGGCCTCGGTCCAGTATACCTGAAGGAGCGTCTCCACCCCCATCATTCTACCCGGACACTGAGGTCCAGCTCTGAGGGCCTTCTGGCGGTTCCCTCGCTGTGAGAAGCCAAGTTACAGGGAACCAGGCAGAGGGCCTTCTCGGTGGTGGCGCCCTCCCTGTGGAACGCCCTCCCACCAGATGTCAAAGAGAACACAACTACCAGACTTTCAGAAGACATCTGAAGGCAGCCCCGTTTAAGGAAGTTTTAATGTTTGATGTATTACAGTATTTTAATGTTTTTTTGGAAGCCGCCCAAGAGTGGCTGGGGAAGCCCAGCCAGATGGGCGGGGTATAAATAATTTATTATTATTATTATTATTATTATTATTATTATTATTTATTATTATTATTATAGCTTTTATATGAATTCTCCCTGGCTTAACCTGAAGTAGCCAGGCAGAGGGCCTTCTCGGTTGTGGCACCCGCCCTGTGGAACTCCCTCCCACCAGATGACAAAGAGAAAAACAACTACCAGACTTTTAGAAGACATCTGAAGGCAGCCCTGTTTAGGGAAGCTTTTAATGTTTAATAGGTTATTGTATTTTAGTGTTCTGTTGGAAGCCACCCGGAGTGTCTGGGGAAGCCCAGCCAGATGGGCGGGGTATAAATAATAAATTATTATTATATTATTATTATTATTATTAAATGCATGGCTGCCGAGAGTCTCGAGGATTGCGTTTCATTGCATGTTCCCCACTGCCCTCTTTTCCCCTCCGCAGGAATCGGGACCGTCCCCGTGGGCCGCGTGGAGACGGGGATCCTGAGACCCGGCATGGTGGTCACCTTCGCTCCCGTCAACATCACCACAGAGGTGAAGTCCGTTGAGATGCACCACGAGGCCCTGAGCGAGGCGCTGCCGGGGGACAACGTTGGCTTCAACGTCAAGAACGTGTCCGTCAAGGACATCCGCCGCGGCAACGTCTGCGGCGACAGCAAATCCGACCCGCCTCAGGAGGCGGCCCAGTTCACTTCTCAGGTCAGCAGAAAGTGAGGCGGCAGCCATTTTGAAAGCCTTTGCCGTCGTATCGCAGCTTCTGCGGCCGTTTGCGTGATGCAGACCTCTGTCCTGCCGGTGATGCTTGAGGAAGACGGAGCATTAACCAAGAGCCCTGAGATTTTACTCTGCAGAAGTCGCGTTGCGGGACGCCAGCCTTTAATAGTTTGCTTGGTGCGGTTGAATCGCTTAAGGCGCGATCCTGCACCCACTTAGCTGGGCTAGGAGTGAAGCCCAGTGAAAGCCTAAGATGTACAGTCATACTTCATGTTAAGTCCGCTTCATGTTACGTTCTTTCAGGTTACGTCCCGCGGCGACCTGGAAGTACCGGAAAGGGTTACTTCTGGGTTTCACCTCATGCGCAGAAGCGCAAAATGACGCCATGCGCAGAAGTGACGAATCGCAACCCGCATGTGCGCAGACACGCCGCTGCGGGTTGTGCTCTTTTCATGTTGCGAACGGGCCTCAGGAACTGATCCCATTCGCAACCAGAGGTACCACTGTAGTTGTTTAGCTCCGGGGCTAGGTTTTAATTTGTCTCCTGATTAGTCTGTAGGACTGACGACAAATCAGTCGTCTCGCATTCAGAGACTTTTGACGGAAGGGTCACGGAGCACCCTTGTTAAAGGCCAGTTTTCCTCCTTACAAAGAATGCCAGGCTGTTGCTCATTAAATTTACAGTGGTGCCCCGCTAGACGAATGCCTCGCAAGACGGAAAACCCGCTAGACGAAAGGGTTTTCCGTTTTGGAGATGCTTCGCAAAACAAATTTCCTATGTGCTTGCTTCGCAAGACGAAAATGTCTTGCGAGTTCCTGCGGGTTTTTTCCCCTTCCCCCCCCTTTTTCCCAAGCCGCTAAACCGCTTATCAGCTGATGGCTAAGCCGCTTAACAGCTGATCGCTAAGCCGCTTATCAGCTGATCGTTAAGCCGCTTATCAGCTGATCTTTAAGCCGCTTAACAGCTGATCGCTAAGCCGCTTACCAGCTGATCCGCTAAGCCCGCTAAGCCGCTAATACTGTAGCGCTAATCCGCTAAACTGCTAATGGGATTGCTTCGCAAGACGAAAAAACCCGCAAGACGAAGAGACTCGCGGAACGGATTCTTTTCGTCTTGCGAGGCACCACTGTATAACCTATCCCACGGAAAAGTAAATTCTCCCTTCAGTATGCCCCTTCGTGGAATGTTTTGCAAGGCACGTAGCTATTTAGATTTATTTGGCTTAGCCATTTTAATCCCTTGAAAGCCAGATTCAGACTAAAAGGAAAGTGATAATGCAAAGGTAAAACCCTCCAAGTGGAGAGGAGGGCCAGTGCTCTCCTGCTGTTGTGGACTGCATGTTCCATTAGCCTTAGCCAGCATGCCCAGTGCTCAAGAATGATGGGAGTTGTACTTCAGCAACTTTTGGAAATCACCATGCTGATTACTCCTGCCCTAGTTTCTTGTATTGGCCAAACCGGAGAGTATTTCAGGGTATTTTTATGTTTTCCAGTTGTTTGTTCAAGTGCATCTCCCTGTCACTTTCCTAACAGCAAGAAGTTCATTTCTCTTTTAGGGTGGATTTTCCCCAGTAGGGTGACAGAGCGATGTCATCTGCTTTAATCGTGCGAAAGTATGGCTTCTCCCATCCACACTTTTGTTCATCTTGTGATTTCAAGTCACAGGTTCAAGGGTTTTTTTTTGACCCACCGCTTTTGTCCAGAAAAGCTGCTGTTTGTTGATGAACTGGAACAAACAGCAACTGGGTTTTTTGCAGATTGGCATTTGTTCCGATTCAGAAGTAAACTGCTGGTTTTCCCGGGGGGGGGGGGGCCCTCTCAGAAATCATGGGATAAACAGGAATATGGATGCACCTTTAGTTTCCGAAAGTGCACTTGAATCCCTCCTGCAAACTACCGCCAGTCTGCAGGAGCCCATTTTCCAGAATGCAGTAGCTAGAAGCGGCTGCCTTTTCAGCAGCCTTCCACAAGGGAGCAGCGTTGCCCAGCTAGGAAAGCCAGAAAGTTGCCGTGGTCATCCCATGCCCTTCCCGAATTTGTTCCGGCCTGAGTCCTTCTCTCGTTCTGTTGCACGGCTTAGGTGATCATCTTGAACCACCCCGGCCAGATCAGCGCTGGATATTCCCCCGTCATTGACTGCCACACTGCCCACATCGCTTGCAAATTCGCCGAGCTGAAGGAGAAGATTGACCGGCGTTCCGGCAAGAAGCTGGAGGACAACCCGAAATCCTTGAAATCGGGGGACGCCGCGATTGTGGAGATGATCCCGGGGAAGCCCATGTGTGTGGAGAGCTTCTCCCAGTACCCACCCCTGGGTGAGAACCTCATCTTTCCCCCAGATGCCTACCAAGTTGGGTGACGGGGGGCTATTTCAAGCTAAACGGCTAGATGCCCAGAAACTCTGATGTAAGATAGACCTAGGAGCGGGAGGGAACCTTCTATGGCCCATATCTTAATTGCCCTACCTCTAGTGGGGCAGATTTGACGGCTGAATGGCTCGCCCACCTGCCAATCACCTAATGGCACTGTGACGTTGCGCAATGCTGCGCTTTGAAGTCCCGATTATTGGGGCTTCAAAGCGCAGCATTGGGCTGTTCGAAAGTCCTTTGGAAGCGTATCCATGCTGCCCTTTTAATTTCTGAAGGTGGGAGGCTTTAAAGAGCAGCGTAGGGCAGTTTGGGAAAGGGGTTCCCCTTCCTTATTCGCAGCAAGTTCTTTTTTTAAAAAAAGAAAACTTGGAATTCTCCAATGGCTACCACAGACACCTTTTGAGCCGAATTGACTCACCCACTCCATTGAAGAAGGCATATAGTTTAGCCAGGCTGTTAGACCTAAAGAGGGAGCTGTGCTTTCTGCTCTCTGCTTATGTGTTCTGCCACTTGCATTCTCTCTGTATTAGAGCTACGATGGATGGATGGATGCTTACTTAGCTGCCACTTTTCCACAATGAGCTGTCCCCAGAAGTAGCGGTTCTCAACCTGTGGGTCCCCAGATGTTGTCGGACTACAACTCCCATCATCCCTGAGCTCTGGACTTGCTAGCTAGGGGTGATGGGAGTTGTAGTTCGACAACATCTGGGGACCCACAGGTTGAGAAAGGCTGGCTTAGAGCAAACATTCAAAACATCAAAATACAAATATACAAAATACAGAGATAGCTCAGTTGGTTAGAGCATGAGATACTTAATCACAGGGTCGAGGGTTCAAGCCCTACACTGGGCAAAAGATAACTTCAAAAGATAATCACTCCACGATTCTATGATTGGCATGGTTTTAATGTATTTAAATAGATAGATCGTTTTGATTCTATCTTACATTTTTGCCAATTTTTATGGCTTTTCATTTTTTAGCAAATTTAACATCAAATGAATTCAAATTTCATACAAATTTAAAAGTTGAATTCCCACCTCACTGCCCTGATGTCTCACTACCCACCCTTATTTGCTGCTCAATATTACGTACATTTCAAGAAAACTTTTTAGCATTTTATCCTTATTTTCTTTCTATTTTCTTTTTCGATAGTTTTGATTCTATCAATGCTTAATCTTTTTTTAACCATTGTTTACCCCCTATGTTTTTAGCTGTTCTTATTTTTATCTGTACACCCACCTTGAGACTCTGCTACGGGGTAAATAAATATATAATGGCGGCAGCAACAACAATAATAGTAATAATAACGAGATCTGCACTGCCGCTTTTTGCCACTAGAGGGCAGTAGAGCGCCGTAGGCTCTGTGGCATTGGCAGGAAGTGCCCTCCTCCTCCGCCCAGCCTCTCACTCTTAACCCTTCGTGTGCCCCATGCAGGGCGCTTTGCCGTGCGCGACATGCGGCAGACCGTGGCCGTGGGCGTCATCAAGAACGTGGAGAAGAAGAGCGGCGGGGCCGGAAAGGTCACCAAATCGGCCCAGAAGGCCCAGAAGGCTGGCAAATGAATCGTAGGTGCCCAGTGCCTCGCGCAGAAACCATCCCCGCAGCCGGGATGCCGCCACCTTCTCCCTGAGGGGCATGCGTGCACATCCGCTTGTAAGAGTCTGTATGTCAACGACTGGATGCTCACCATTAAAGTCCAGTGGAAATTCTTTAAAAGGAAAAGCATGTCCCGGCGTCCGTGAGGCTTTGTGTTCAAATTTTACCAATAAAACTGGTATACAACATCCACAGCGAAAACGTGGGGGTGTCGTTTGTGCGGTTGGGCCAGCCTGCCCGTCCGTATTCGCATCAAGTTGTTTTCATCTGTTTCCTGCTGGCAATAATTATTAAGAGCAGTCAGTAGAGCGTGAGACTTGGGGTCGTGGGTTCGAGTCCTGACTTGGCCAGGAAGACTCTTGCATCGCAAGGGGTTGGGTCCCTTCCAGCTCTACTGCTAAGATTCTAATACAGTGGTTCCTCGCAAGACGAAATTAATCCGTTCCGTGAATCTCTTCGTCTTGCGGTTTTTTCGTCTTGCGAAGCACGGCTATTAGCGGCTTAGCGGCTTTAAGAAAAAGGAAACAAACTCGCAAGAACTCGCAAGATGTTTCGTCTTGCGAAGCAAGCCCATAGGGAAATTCGTCTTGCGAAGCGACTCAAAAAACGGAAAACTCTTTCGTCTAGCGAGTTTTTCGTCTTGCAAGGCATTCGTCTTGCGGGGCACCACTGTACAGGGGTCAGCAAACTTTTTCAGTGGGGGGTGGGGTGGTCCACCGTCCCTCAGACCTTGTGGGGGACCGGACTGTATTTTTTTAAAAAAAATTAATGAATTCCTAGGCCCCACAAATAACCCAGAGATGCGTTTTAAATAAAAGCACACATTCTACTCATGTAAAAACACCAGGCAGGCCCCACAAATATCCCAGAGATGCATTTTAAATAAAAGGACACGTTCTACTCATGTAAAAACACGCTGATTCCTGGACCGTCTGTGGGCTGGATTGAGAAGGCGATTGGGCCGGATCTGGCCCCCGGGCCTTAGTTTGCCTACCCATGTTTTAATACATAACTATAATATTACTCCCTGGAAAAGACCCTGATGTTGGGAAAGATTGAGGGCACAAGAAGAAGGGGACGACAGAGGACGAGATGGTTGGACAGTGTTCTCGAAGCTACAAACATGAGTCTGACCAAACTGCGGGAGGCAGTGGAAGACAGGAGTGCCTGGCGTGCTCTGGTCCATGGGGTCACGAAGAGTCGGACACGACTAAACAACAACAATATTGCAGTCATACCTCGGGTTACAGCCACTTCAGGTTGTGTTTTTTCGGGTTACGGTTACTCACCCGCCGAAACCTGGAAGTACCGGAACTTCTGAGTTTCAGCGGTCGCGCATGCGCAAAAGCACTAAATTGTGCTTTGCGCATGTGCAGAAGCACCGAATCGCAAACCGTGCGTGCACAGACGCGCCGTTGCGGGTTGCGAACATACATCCCGCATGGATCACGTACGCAACCCGAGCGTCCACTGTGTTGCAAATGGTCCTTTCTGGTTCGTTTCATCTTTACACCTCGCCTGAAAGCTCGCAGCAAAAGCGTCACTAAAAGCATTCGGTGCGCAATGGCTCTTAAACAACATGGCTAGCTAGAGCCATGGTTGGCTACGAGAGGCCAAGGAGTACATCTGCGGCTAGACCATGGTGTTGATAACGCCAAGGTTGCGGGTTCGATCCCCATCTGGGACTTCTGCATATTTTCTGCATTGCAGGTGGTTGGATTAGATGAATCTTGGGGTCCCTTCCAATTCAAGGTTCTGCAATTCCATACAGGTCCCCCCTCCAAAAAAAATGGAACATCAGAATGAGAGACACAGGCACCCACCCCAAACCCCAAAGGATTAGACTGTTCACCTGGAGAAACCCTGTTTGGGTTTTTTTTGTACAGTGGTACCTCGGGTTAAGTATTTAATTCGTTCTGGAGGTCCGTACTTAACCTGAAACTGTTCTTAACCTGAAGCACCACTGAAGCACCTGAAGCTAATGGGGCCTCCTGCTGCCACCGCGCCACCAGAGCACGATTTCTGTTCTCATCCTGAAGCAAAGTTCTTAACCTGAAGCACTATTTCTGGGTTAGCAGAGTGTGTAACCTGAAGCGTATGTAACCCGAGGTACCACTGTATTTTCCTACGTTGGCCTCGGCCTGTAGTAGCAGCTGATGCCCTGATTTTACAGCTGGGTTAGACCAGCAGGGCCAAAAATATTTACATGAGGGATGTTTTGAGAGGGAAGAGGGATCACATGCGATTGCTAGGCAACCTGCCAAGCATCTACTGCAGCAAAAATTGCCACCTGGGTCTTAAAAGATGTTGGAAATAAGATGCTTAAAAGCCTGTTTAACTTTCCTATGATGAGATGAATGAGTTTCATGGGATGAGAGCGTGACATAAATAGCAGTGGTAATGACAGCAAACTAATAATTCAAAGGCTAAAAATGCTAACCATTTTAAAAAGGAATTTTTAAAAGCGTGCCTTTAATTAGATGTTTACTACAGCAATTTTAGGCTGCTCCGCAGAATTTATTATTTATTTCATTTCATTTCACTTTTAATTTGTACACCACCTTCCTATATTACCAGAAACAAGCCAATTTACAAGCTGAAGAAACAACAAAATAGACAGCAACGATCACACACTTAATTGCAATCTGATCCAATACAAAAAGTCATAATAAAAACCTAACTTTAAAATAGACAACTTGTATCAAATAAAGCAATCTTCAACAATCCATTAGAATATATCAGTAAACTGTAAAATTAAATACCAGCAAATAATATACAGTTGGCAACAATTTTTTTTACTAAACTATAATCAATAAAGATAAGGGCCAGTCGCAATTCATAAAATAACTCAAAAGCATTCAAAACCACGTAAAGGGATCAAATGGAGAAACAAGGACACACAACTTACAAAATTATTTTTTTACAAACAATAATAATTTGCACCTCACTTTTGTTTCCAAGGAGCTCTGGGTTAGCTAGTCTGAGAGGCAGTGTCTGGCCCAAGGTCACCCACTGAGCTTAATGGCTGAGTGGGGATTTGAACCCTGGTCTCTCACAGGTTCTAGCGCGGTTCTCTAACCATTACACTACACTGTCCATTGAACAGGAAGAAATTGGAACCGAAGAGTAAATCTTAGCTTCCTCCACAATATGCCTCTGTTGAGCTGAAAGAGCCCGAAGGGTTGTTAACTCTTGAGTTGGTGGCATTGGTTGTAAGACTGCCTTGCGCCTTCACATCTCCCCCTACTCCCGCCTGACCCAAATCCAGGCTGAGCCCACCTTTACCTGCTAGCATCCTGCCACAGAAGCAAGCAGGAATCTTCTCTCAGCTCTGCTCCCGGTGGGGTCCACCATCCTCTGCCGCCTGACCTGTCTCTCCAAGAACCATGTGTCAGCATCAGAACTTAGCAATCACATTGGTGATCCAGGTGGAGGTGGACGTGGGTGGTGCTGTGGTCTAAACCACGGAGCCTCTTGGGCTTGCCGATCGGAAGGTCGGCGGTTTGAATCTCTGCAACGGAGTGAGCTCCCGTTGCTCTGTCCCAGCTCCTGCCAACCTAGCAGTTCGAAAGCACGCCAGTGCAAGTAGATAAATAGGTACTGCTGCAGCGGGAAGGTAAACGGCATTTCCGTGCGCTCTGGTTTTCGTCATGGTGTTCCGTTGCGCTGGAATCAGTTTAGTCATGCTGGCCACATGACCCGGAAAGCTGTCTGTGGACAAACGCTGGCTCCCTTTACCTGAAAGTGAGATGAGCGCTGCAACCCCATAGTCGCCTTTGACTGGACTTAACCGTCCAGGGGTCCTTTACCTTTATGTTACCAGGTGGAGGCAAAGGGGAATCAACTGTATTGGAAGAGGAGGACCAGGGCGTGATCTTTTTGGTGGGGGATGCAATTAATTAACCAATCAATCAATTAATCTTAGCATGCTAGTAGCTGAGCTATAGGTTAAAACAAAGGACTGCAACCTTTGGGGGTCTACAGGTCTCACTCACTCACTCACTCACTCACTCACTCACTCACACACACCAGCCAATTATTTTGGCTGCCATACAATGGTTCTTTCCAGTGCTATTTTTCTAGAAAGAGAGGTCTGGAACTGAGTTCTGGTGAGTTCCAGCTGATAAAAAGGCCCTGGTTCTTTCCAGCCTAATATCGGAAGGCAGGGATGGGGACCTTGTGGGCACCATGTTGGGTTAGAGCAGTGTTTCCCAACCTTGGGGCTCCAGCTGTTTTTGGACTACAACTCCCATCATCCCTAGCTTAGCAAGACCAGTGGTCATGGATGATGGGAATTGTAGTCCGAAAACAGCTGGAGACCCAAGGTTGAGAAACACCGGGTTAGAGGGAAAAGAGCGGGGCAGGGGAAAGTGTTAACAGAAGCAGATTTGGGTCAAACATGAGGAGGAACTTTCTGATGGTAGGAGGACAGACTGCCTTGGGATCGGGATGTTTGATGGACACAGAAGTAGGTCCTTGGGTGGGGGCAGAACTGCTGTGTTAGTCTCCTGGAAAGTGGGCCACTTGCTTACCTGGAGGGAGTCGCCATGGTGCAAACCAGTGCGCTGACGGGAACCCAAAATTGGTTCTGCTGGTATGCAGTGGTGAAGATGGTGTGGCGTTTCTGCGCCACCCAGCAATCACTTCAGGTTGGAGGCATTGAAACAGAGGCTGGCTAGCTCTCTGTCCGAGATGGCTGTGGCTGCATCTTATAATTGCAGATCTTGCATCAAGCAATGGTTTAGATGAGATTGTCAGGAGTTCAGCCTACACTCGAGTAGGACCCTGGCAGAGACACATGCCCGACTGGCATGTTCCCTCCCTCCTGGTCGATCGTTCGGGAGCTTCATAAGTTTTCTTCAGCCCGAACATCACAGCTACCAATGCCAACCGACACCGGCACACTTAGGGATCCGCAGAGTTTGCGCATCATGTGCGTGACAGACCTCAGCAACTCAGCATTTTG